ACCTGAAAGATTGTTATTGTGAAATATATATAAAAAAGATTGTTATTATGAAACACATTCCTGAAAGATTGTTATTGTGAAACACATAGCTAAACGATTGATATTGTGAAACACGTATCTAATAAATTGTTATTGTGAAACACATATCTAATAAATTGTTATTGTAAAACACACGTCTATAAGATTGTTATTGTGAGACTCATATCTACACGATTGATATTATGAAACATATTCCGGAAAAAAATGTTATTGTGAAACAGGTATCTAATTGATTATTATTATGAATCATATAGTTAAAAAGGTTGTTGTTGTGAAACATATAGTTAAAAAGATTGTTGTTGTGAAACATATCGTTAAAAAGGTTGTTGTTGTGAAACATATAGTTAAAAAGGTTGTTGTTGTGAAACATATAGTTAAAAAGGTTGTTGTTGTGAAACATATAGTTAAAAAGGTTGTTGTTGTGAAACATATAGTTAAAAAGGTTGTTGTTGTGAAACATATAGTCAAAAAGGTTGTTGTTGTGAAACATATAGTTAAAAAGATTGTTGTGAAACATATAGTTAAAAAGATTGTTGTGAAACATATAGTTAAAAAGATTGTTGTGAAACATATAGTTAAAAAGATTGTTGTTGTGAAACATATCGTTAAAAAGGTTGTTGTTGTGAAACATATAGTTAAAAAGGTTGTTGTTGTGAAACATACAGTTAAAAAGGTTGTTGTTGTGAAACATATAGTTAAAAAGGTTGTTGTTGTGAAACATATAGTCAAAAAGGTTGTTGTTGTGAAACATATAGTTAAAAAGATTGTTGTGAAACATATAGTTAAAAAGGTTGTTGTTGTGAAACATACAGTTAAAAAGGTTGTTGTGAAACATATAGTTAAAAAGATTGTTGTTGTGAAACATATAGTTAAAAAGGTTGTTGTTGTGAAACATATAGTTAAAAAGGTTGTTGTTGTGAAACATATAGTTAAAAAGGTTGTTGTTGTGAAACATATAGTCAAAAAGGTTGTTGTTGTGAAACATATAGTTAAAAAGATTGTTGTGAAACATATAGTTAAAAAGATTGTTGTGAAACATATAGTTAAAAAGATTGTTGTGAAACATATAGTTAAAAAGATTGTTGTTGTGAAACATATCGTTAAAAAGGTTGTTGTTGTGAAACATATAGTTAAAAAGGTTGTTGTTGTGAAACATACAGTTAAAAAGGTTGTTGTTGTGAAACATATAGTTAAAAAGGTTGTTGTTGTGAAACATATAGTCAAAAAGGTTGTTGTTGTGAAACATATAGTTAAAAAGATTGTTGTGAAACATATAGTTAAAAAGATTGTTGTGAAACATACGTAAGGCTGTCACTGTGAAACATACGTAAGGCTGTCATTGTGAAACATACGTAAGGCTGTCATTGTGAAACACATACCCAAAAGCGAATCGTGTTTGTCACGCGGCTGGCTACCACCATGGTCCACGTGAACGAGTTGTGACGATTGTCTTTTTCATTTTTTAGATAAATTAGCGATTGTCGTGTTGGGGAAAATATTTTTTTATGATCTCGATAAACAATAGTCGAGCAGTTCATCACGCTATGAGTCAGAAGATAGGGAAAATTTTAGAAATATTACTTTCCGCAGAAAAACGAAATAGCTTATCAGTTTTCAAAAGCACACGCTATAAATTCACACATGTAAGATCACATATATATTCTATACTGCCCCACTTTTGATAGGGATATATTCATCTTTCCATCATACACAAAACTGATGTTTATGAGTGAGTGAGTGAGTTAAGATTTGCATCACGTCGGCAGTATTTAAACCATATCGTGACTACAACGATTTAAACACACATACGAAATATAAACTTTCTAAAAAACCTGTCAGCAAAGAACATTAAAATAACAAGAGTATCACAGACATATTTATAACTAATATGGAACGATAAAACGATATTACAATACATAACAATATATGATAAAATCGAGCTAGAGATCGCCAGCATCCAAAGTTAGGCCACCATACTAGAGACCGTGGGGACTTACAATACTAGGGACCGTGAGGACTTACAATACTAGAGACCGTGGGGACTTACAATACTGGGGACCGTGGGGACTTACAATACTGGGGACCGTGGGGACTTACAATACTAGAGACCGTGGAGACTTACAATACTAGGGACCGTGGGGACTTACAATACTGGGGACCGTGGGGACTTACAATACTAGGGACCGTGGGGACTTACAATACTAGAGACCGTGGGGACTTACAATACTGGGGACCGTGGGGACTTACAATACTGGGGACCGTGGGGACTTACAATACTAGAGACCGTGGAGACTTACAATACTAGGGACCGTGGGGACTTACAATACTGGGGACCGTGGGGACTTACAATACTAGGGACCGTGGAGACTTACAATACTAGAGACCGTGGGGACTTACAATACTAGGGACCGTGGAGACTTACAATACTAGGGACCGTGGGGACTTACAATACTGGGGACCGTGGGGACTTACAATACTAGGGACCGTGGGGACTTACAATACTGGGGACCGTGGGGACTTACAATACTTCTGCTTCCTTCACGGCTCCCCAGCAGGATTTACACATGCCTTCAGTCGCTGGCGATTATAGTCAATTGTAGCTATCAATTAAAACTAACAAATATACTACGATTTAAAATGGGGTAGACCCAAATTGATGTTTATGAAATACCAAGTGTGCATGAAACAAGAGATGATATATCTGATAAATTCTACTAAACGTTCGGTAGTATACATAGAAAATAACACGTGCATTGCAAACTAAACCAGGCAACCTATTTGTGAGTGAATGTTGTTTTGCGCCACTGTATGCAATATTTCAGTTACATGCTTGTCGCAAGAGGACATTAACGGGATAGGGTGGTTCGACACAACGAGGTTCGACTGTACTAAGGGCCATCGCACTACAATACACCGTGTATATTTTAACTTGTCATGGGAATCAGTCTATTGCAAGCTCGCTGATTTGGTTGATGCATGTCATCGTATCTTTGCGTAGATCGATGCTCATGATGTCAATCACTGGATTGACTCGATTATTTACAGACCGCCGTCATAAAGCGGGAATGTTGCTGAGTGCGGCGTTAAACAACAAACAAACAACATTGTAAGAAATGTCTTCATTTTACGGTTGATTTTAAGATTGAATAAAAATTGAAAGTTGCAAAAGTGGTTGGGTGCAATGGTGAGGTTTATTGATCAATTCGTAAACATTTCACCACCATTTTGCCTTTTACACCCAAAAGTGCTAAAAGCGGCGTAAAACAATTCTCCCTCACTTGAGTGACAACGACTTTCAACTTTGAGTTCGTTTTAATTAACTCAAGTTTTAGTGAGTGAGTGTGAGTGAGTATGGTTTTACGCCGCTTTTAGCAATATTCCAGCAATATCACGGCGGGGGACACCAAACTTCACACATTGTACCCATGTCGGGAATCGAACCCGGGTCTTCAGCGTGATGAGCGAACGCTTTACCACTAGGCTACCCGACCGCCCCTCAAGTCTTAGATGCTAATCGTGACCGACCTTCACCCAGGACTTGTACAGAACAGCGCCATTTTTAAAAACAACAACAAAACATTGAACGATAAATACGCTATATGGAAATATCAAACTAATTCTGGATATATAATGATATAAAATACGATCATAAATCATCTTAAACGACTTTGATGGATACAGTCATGCCGTTTACTTATAAAATAGGTCGTGTTACAACTTGTCAAAAGATAATAGCTTTTGTTGCATCTTCTAAGGAAGATATTGTGTGAATAGTATGTGTAGATCAGTTGAATATCAAGGGTAGTGTCTCTTTAACGTGGAATGTGATATCATCGCTGAATGTCACGACAGTTTTTTACTGTGTTTTTTTGTTGTTTTGTTTAGTTTTGTAAATTTTCCTTGTGTCTTTTGTGCAATGAAAAACGGTAAATGTGAACGGATTAAGACAAATCACGTATTTCGTTAACATTATCCAGATTAATTAAACATGCGCATGCAGAAATGTTCATGGTAAAGATCCGGGTTAGAACTGGTCAAACTAACGTGGATCAGTGCTCACAATTGTTCGGAGGGAAAGGTTTTCAGATTAACGAGGGTTCAATGTGTACAGTATCAGGAGTAGAGCTTCAATAATTGCTGAACGAGTCGCAATGTGTATCTTCTAGGGTAGGTAGTTTAGCTCAATAAAAATATAATTTTACAAAATACTGTTTAGCCTTTTGCAGAAACTGTTTTTCAAGCAAGGATAGATATCGTCAGGTTTTGTGTTGCGTTTGTCAGATGAGATGGTTGAAAATAATAATCAGTCTATACTAGTCACGGCGTTATTCTGAGTCACGTTAACGTTGCGTTTAGTTGTCGAAGATGGTTGGTGATGATGATATGCCTACAAATCTGTTACGACTCTTAAAACACTGATGATGACGGCGGTGCTGGTGGTGGTGGTGGTGGCGGTTTGGCTACTGATGCTGATGATGATGGTGGTGGTGGCGGTGCTACTCATAGTAATGATGATGATGATGATGATGTTAATAAACTATATGATGAAGAGCGCGTTGACACCATGCCAACACTTGCTACGACACCCAAATTCAGAGCTCTAACTTCTACGACAAACATGATGCATCCTCGATAATCCAGGGCATTATATCACGATACACATCCTGTACCCATTTGCTACCATAGCTTCGTTTGGACTACAAAAGTCGTCAAAAACAAATAACTCTGATAAGCATGAGAAGATCTGTGCTACGATGGCGATAGGAGAGATGGTGGTGGTGACGTCACTTCCGAAACGGTGATTAATGGGTCCTGGATATTAATCGTAACAGAAGGGAGAAATAAACACTTGATAATCGAGGATGAACATGATGTGCTGGAGAGCTATTCAGACCTCGAACCCCATACTCACTCAAAGTGGCGTCAAACCAACTCACTCACTCACTCACTGATTGTTTCAGATTCGCAGCCGTCCCCGGCCCGGACCCGCCTCCTTGAGCTGCTGTATAACATTGACGGCCTCTTGCAAGCCTCTGCACATAGCTCCGACCTACCAGATAACATAAAGCTCGCCCAACCACGGGATACAGACTTCAAAAGTAAAGGTGAGGGTAAATATATATCTCTTTCTCCCTCGACGGATAAATCACTTCAAAGTCTCTCTTCACGTTAGATAAATCACTTCTCTCTCTCGACGGATAAATCACTTCTCTCTCTCTCGTTAGATAAATCACTTCTCTCTCTCGTTAGATAAATCACTTCTCTCTCGTTAGATAAATCACTTCTCTATCTCTCTCGTTAGATGAATCACTTTTCTCTCTTTAGATAAATCACTTCTCTCTCTCTCGTTAGATAAATCACCTCTCTCTCTCGTTAGATAAATCACTTCTCTCTCTCGTTAGATAAATCACTTCTCTCTCGTTAGATGAATCACTTCTCTATCTCTCTCGTTAGATGAATCACTTCTCTCTCTTTAGATAAATCACTTCTCTCTCTCTCTCGTTAGATAAATCACTTCTCTCTCGTTAGATAAATCACTTCTCTCTCTCTTTAGATAAATCACTTCTTTCTCTCTCGTTAGATAAAACACTTCCCTCACTTGTTAGATAAATCTGTTCTCTCTCTCTCTTGTTAGATAAATCACTTCTCTCTCTCTCGTTAGATGAATCACTTCTCTCTCTCTTTAGATAAATCACTTCTCTCTCGTTAGATAAATCACTTCTCTATCTCGTTAGATAAATCACTTCTTTCTCTCTCGTTAGATAAAACACTTCCCTCACTTGTTAGATAAATCTGTTCTCTCTCTCTCTTGTTAGATAAATCACTTCTCTCTCTCTCGTTAGATGAATCACTTCTCTCTCTCTTTAGATAAATCACTTCTCTCTCGTTAGATAAATCACTTCTCTATCTCGTTAGATAAATCACGTCTTTCTCTCTCGTTAGATAAAACACTTCCCTCACTTGTTAGATAAATCTGTTCTCTCTCTCTCGTTAGATAAATCACCTCTCTCTGGCTCTCTCCTTCCCTCTCCCTATCTCTCTCCCTCTCTCTCTCGTTAGATAAATCACCTCCCTCTGTCTCTCTGTGTGTGTCTCTGTCACTCTCCTTCCCTCCCTCCCTCTCTCTCTCTCTCTCTCCCGTTCCCTTCAAAGTCCATGTGTTATTAGTCTGTAAAAATAGCCTCCCTCTCCACTGGACCTTCTCCCGCAATAATCAGATCACTAACACAAACTTGATGTATTGTAAATTACTTCTGTCAAACATCCCTCCGAGATTGTCCCCTGCCGTGAAAAAGGTGTATATAACACAATCATACTACAGAAATCCTACAAAAGTAGTCACGAAATAAAAATGAATTTTGAGCCTTTTTCAGGCAAAATGTGTAAGGACTGGAAAATGACCATTAAATATTAGTTCGTGTCGCTTGGTTCGAGCTAAGGCGATATTTGGAGTTCCTTACATATGAAATATATCAGACTGTAGCATGGTCTCCGCTTCACCTGCATGCACGTGACGCCCGTAACACGAGAACAACCCAATCCAGTTAGTCGCCTCTTAGGGGCGGTCGGGTAGCCTAGTGGTTAAAGCGTTCGCTCGTCACGCCGAAGACCCGGGTTCGATTCCCGACATGGATACAATATGTGAAGCCCATTTCTGGTGTCCCCTGCAGTGATATTGCTGGATTATTGCTAAAAGCGGCGTAAAACTATACTCACTCACTAGTCGCCTCTTACGACAAGCGGGGTGGCCCAGTCGTCTAAGGCGCCGCGATTCGCTGAGCAGAGTTGCGTCCCTTTGAGCACGCCAGAAACCTATGATTGTGGGTTCGAATCCCGGTTCGCCCCGATTATGTTTCTAGGTTTGTCAGTACCATACCCATGCTCGACGGTTTCACCGAAGTGGTAAACGTCTGAGACCTGCATCACTTCGAGCTTTCCTCCCACACCACGCCGCGATATAACTGAAATACTGTCAAAAGCGGCGTTAAACCCAACGCACTCACTCACTCACTCTTACGACAAGCACAGTCGCCTCTTTCGGCAAGCATGGATTGCTGAAGACCTATTCTGACCCTGATCATCAAGGGTCACCATAAGCAAATCTTGAATAATATTTACTGCACTAATCACACAGTTTCTATGAATAAGTCAACGACTTTTTTCAATTGTGTTAGAGTTGCATTGAAAAAGACACAAACGATATATGTAATAAAACATTTACCGCAAGTGATACTTACACCGGAAGTATAATGTGTCTCGTTCACAAAACTCGCTTTGCATGGCAATTGATCTGTGCAGCAACCTGTCAGTGGTTACACAAATGTTTCAAATTAACTATAATTCCTAGTTTATAAATTTATATTTTCGAATTTACGACGGATATATTTTTGAGCTGCAAACTCCAAGGAATAGATCATGCTAAGGCTTAAAAGTTGCAATGAACTCACAAAATATGACTAGCTGCCCCTGCTACGTTTCGGGTGGCCCAGTCGTCTAAGACGCAGCGATTCGCTGTGCAGAGTTGCGTCCCCTGGGCACGCCAGGAACCTATGATTGTGGGTTCGCCCCGATTATGTTTGTCAGCACCATACCCGTACTCGTGGGTTTCACCGAAATGGTAAACGTCTGAGACCCGCATCACTTCGGGCAAGATTAAGCTGACACGCCGTCATATAACTGGAATACTGTTAAAAGCGGCGTTAAACCCAACTCACTCACTCACCCTGCTACATTTCAGAGTACACACCATCCACAGTCTTGTACCAAATGGTACCCTTATCTGTGAACACATTCAGAATAGGCGACGATGTTAAAAAATACAAGACTAAATATTAATTAACATGATTAAATTAAGATTTAATTACAGGGTGATGGAGATTTTAAAGACACAATAACAATCTTACACCATATCATCCATCCATAGCTGCAAGCTACTTCACTGTACGCTCCATCTTACAAAAGCGGCTGGCCGCACAACTGGTTCTTATTTAGTGCAGTGGATTACGTGTGACGGTCAAATATATCACAGGCCTTCGTATCGGCTTCCGAGTTTATCCGAACGGGTGGTTGTTATTCCATGACTGAAAGAAAGAATATGATTCAAGATTCACACAATAACCTATTGTTATATTGACTTGGGGAAGATTATGATTCAAGATTCACACAATAACCTATTGTCATATTGACTTGGGGAAGATTATGATTCAAGATAAACACAATAACCTATGGTCATATTGACTTGGGGAAGATTATGATTCAAGATTCACACAGTAACCTATTGTTATATTGACTTTGGGAAGATTATGATTCAAGATTCACACAGTAACCTATTGTTATATTGACTTGGGCAAGAATATGATTCAAGATTCACACAATAACCTGCTGTTATATTGACTTGGGGAAGAATATGATTCAAGATTCACACAATAACCTATTGTTATATTGACTTGGGGAAGAGTATATTTCAAGATTCACACAATAACCTGCTGTTATATTGACTTGGGGAAGAATATGATTCAAGATTCACACAATAACCTATTGTTATATTGAATTAGGGAAGGATAATTCAAGATTCACCTGGAAAACTAAAAACGTGTTAGAATAAGTCCCCAGCCACTTATGCTTTTCATACCGTGGGTTTTTCGATAAGAATAGGCTCCCGGTAACCTAGGATAGCAAGAGGCACATAACATCAATTTCTAGTTTGTTTGGCACAGATTTAATCGAGGACATATCTCTCCCAGGTAAAGCTGGTCGCGACGTTAAACAACAAACAAACATATAATTATACTGAATAGGAGACGAACCCTAGTTTGAATAAGGTGATTGATTGAGTGAGAAAGTGGGTGGGTGGATGATAGGGAGAGAGGATGAGTGGGTGGATGGGTGAGTGAGTGAGTGAGTTTGGACACTTTTATTTTCAAGGCAGGCCGACGACTCAACTAGGAATGTCAACTGAAACATTGAGTGAGTGTGTATAGTTTTCCGCCCCTTTTAGCAATATTCCAGCAATATCATGGTGAGGAACACCAGAAATGGGCTTCACACATTGTGTCCACGTGTGGAATTGAACCCGGGTCTTCAGCCTGACGAGTGAACGCTTTAACCATTAGGCTACCCCGCCGCCCCTCCCATGAAACACATGAAATGTGTACCTATGTAATATTTTCTTTCAACCTAAGTCCGTGTTCTTCCAGGTGACCCTGAACTTGCTAAGAAGAGAGACATGGGTGTCCTCCCGCCCTGGAACGAATTTTGCCGGATGATGAGGATAACGAACTGCTTCCACAGTCAACACTGAGCATGCGCAAACCCAGCCAATCATAACACAGGAAAACATTCGGTGCAGCTGAACACGGTGCTTGACGAGATTTTATGACTATACGAGAGCTTGACGAGAACGGAGGATGTTATAATGAAAGTGCTCTACAAACTTGCAACAGTGGATTTCTCAATAAAATTATTGATTTATAATCTTTGTTTTGTGGTTAAGTTTGTTTGACTCCGCGCTGTGGAGTACTCGCGACAAGCAATATTTATGTTTCGGCTTTATTTTTGGTCGCCATTGACTATTAGCAGGTCGGTTCCGGGTTGTCAATGGATGAGTGATACGCCCGAGGGTTCCAAGATTGGTCCTTGCTGTTCGGATTGTAAGGACATTATTTACGACAACACACAGAAACTCGATATCCCCTGCGATATGAGACAGTGCCTGAGAATGTCAGGTTGACAGGGAAACATGAAATATAACACACGATAATGCATACTTTTGGTTTCACAGGTTTCCATGGTGAATACACAAAGTTGGTTGGTTAGTTGGTTTGGTGTTAACGCGGCACTCAGCAATCTCATTAAAATCAGATCTTAGTTCTCGCTACTGCTAAACAAAGATCTGAAGACATCCCATTTGGGGTCACGTCAGAACGACCTTTCATCCGCCCAGAGCGTCGCTTACCAGATCATGAAAGTGACAGTCGGAATGTGATTTCTAATCATGCAAACTTTAACACTGGGTATTCCGAACGATAACGGGTTTAACGACTGAATCCATACAATCTAGACCATCTAATAGCCATTCCAGAATGTTCTTTTGTTCAGGTTTAAAAGTTTTAATCGAGGATTTGTCAAAATATGTTTCGAAGCGTAGTCTCCAATTTGAAATTAGTGCCGTAAAGCACGAGAAAGCTGCCTTCTGATTGGCTAATGTCGACTTCTTGTCAGTCCTTCAAAAGGTCGGTCAAAGTTCGCGCAAGGTCCCGTAATGGGATGTCCTCAGATCTTTGTTTAGCGGTAGCTAGAACTAAGATCTGGTTTTAATGAGATTGGACACTCAGCAATATTCCAGCTTTATTCGTGTCAATAATCGTGTCTGTGATTAATATCATGAGCATCAATCTACGCACTTGGGATCGATGACATCTATCAACCGAGTCAGCGTGCCTGACCACCCGATCCCGTTAGTCGCCTTTTACGACAAGCATAGTCGCCTTAACTGCAAGCATGGGTTGCTGAATACGCAAAGTGTTGACATTAACCGAACAATGTTGACAGGTTGGTTTTGAGTTAATACCTGTAAAACAAACCCTGAACCTTTTAGCCTAACCCTGATAACAACAAGACAATAGGCCTCAACAACGTAATAAATTATCAATTCATAAACTTTTGAAAACTTCAGGGACGACACGTCCGTTAAACAAAGGTGAAACTAGTGATAAGATCAGGCAATTGTTTATCTTTCGGGTTTTCTTTCCCAACACGATTAGGTACTTTTGTGCACTTGTTGGAATTTTTATACATATTTTATTGACATTCCGAAGTCAAATGGATCGGGCAAAAGTTGTTCAATTTATGACGCCCTTTCCATAAACATTATACAATCAAGGGATGAATATGTTTATTTGTTTGTTTGTTTGTTGTTTTACGCCGCACTCAGCAATATTCCAGCTATATGACGGCGGTCTGTAAATAGTGAAGTCTGGACCAGACTGATTGACATCATGAGCATCGATCCACCCAATCGGGATACGATGACAGTATCAACCAAGTTAGCGAGTCTGACCATCCGATCTCGTTAGTTGCCTCTTACGACCTGCATAGTCACCTTTTACGGTTAGCATGGGTTGCTGAAGACCTATTCCAACCCGGATCTTCACGGGTCGGATAAACATGTAAATATTTAACATTAAAATAACTAAATTGGATAGTAACATTAATAATTACTGCTGTGATGAATCATGTATACCAGTCATCTGGGAATGGTTTGTAAATGGTAAAACAACATGAAAAATGTGAAAAAAATGTAATGTAATGTGATGTAAAAAAATATATACCAAATGTCCTTTTTAATATGATATATGTTTGCACACTTTTAAATATAAAGATGTTATCTGTTCTAAGTTAAACTTCAAAGTTAAACTTGCAGCAAAATATAAATATTAATAAATTATTTTTACTGATATAATATATTTTTGCACACATTTCAATGTGCTGGTGTTATGTATCAAAGAGCATGAAACATCGCCATAAAGAATTGTGACTTCCAAGTGAAAATATGTAATATGTAATATGTTATACAATGAAGGACACTGCTCGGCAAAAGAAAGTATACACCGATGTTGGATGGTGTCTAAAAATGAAACAGGCAAGAAATGGATGTTAGATGGGGATGTGTTAGATACGGGTATCATGGCTGCGTTTTAGACGTTAAGTTTGCAGTGTTTCGGGGTCTGTTTTCGTGTCGCCACAAAACAATAAACAAAATGCAAACGAAGGGGATGAAAACTGATGAGCTGATTATGTCGAGAAAAGAAGAGAGTGAGTGTGGTTTTACGCCGCTTTTAGCAATATTCCAGCAATATCACCGTTGGGGACACCAGAAATTGGCTTCACACATGTGGGAAATCGAACCCGGGTCTTTAGCGTGACGAGCGAAAGCTTTAACCACAAGGCTTCCTTCCCCACCGCCCAACCGCCCCACACCATCCTATATGAGAGATGGAAGGGCCTAATGTGACATCGCTTGGTCGCAACGCTGAAGACCCGGGTTCAATTCCCCACATGGGTAAAATGTGTGAAGCCAATTTCTAGTGTCCCCAACGGTGATATCGCTGGAAAATTGCTAAAAACGGCGTAAAACCAAACTCACTCACTCACTCAACGCGACGTTTGAAAACAGGCGCTAGGACCTTCATCAACCATGTGGAGACCCGTTACGCAACTGTCTTCAATGACTAAATACACAGATTTCGCAATAGTAACCCCATTTTAAATGTCACCATCTGTTTTATGTACTCTCGATGTTTGTACTTATCAAAAATTGCATTCTCTGACATTTAGATAAAGGAACTTGAATGGTAATGTGTTTTCATGCATGCTCAGATGCAGTTAACGATTGTTTGTAGTCGAATGAACCTAAACACAAACACATACACATCATTAAGTCAGAACTAAAGAAAGCGATTTCCATCGAAATGGTCAGTGTCCTAATAAATGTGTTTATATGTAAAAGATTCATACGCATAGATGGTTATTAGAGTTAGGTACATTTCGGTTAAGAAGAATAAAACCAATAGTTTAATTTTGCAGAAATAAATATGAGGAATACTTTTGTAAATTGTGATGGCCTTGTCATTTCAAAGGTCAACGTTCTCGGGTCAAATGTTGTTTTAATTGCTATCGACCTTCCGTGTCATTTATCAGAATAAAATAAATTATTTGGTTGGGGGGGGGGGGGGGGGGGTCGGTTGATCGAGGCTGGTTCATTTCTGGCGTTGACGTGTTGTACTGAATGTATGTACTTGGGAGTGAATCTGACCCTCAATATCAGTGACAGGTTTTTCAAGAATTTTCCAAAGGGCTATAAAAAAAACAGAAACCAAACATGATGTTCCTTGGCTGTGGACTTCAACTTGCCAATAGAAGAAATGTATGTGCTACTCATTAAAAGTAGGTCCCAGCTAGAGTAACTGACCTTTGTCAACGTGAAGCTACTCTAACCCAACTCTAACCTTGTCACGACAACGGTCAGACGTTGTTGACAGTCAATCCTGTCATAACGTTAAGAAGTGCAGTCAGATGTACACACAGCGACAAAACGAAACAAGGTAACAATTCAAACATATTTCGGCCAAATCCAACTATTTATATTTGTGGAGAAGGTTCCATGCCGCTGAGGTCTACAAGCCCAGGTATGACTACTAATCCCGCTTGGCTAGGCCTTGTGCCCTCTCAAAATTGTTTCACAATTTATATCTCCAAAGTTGCCAAAACGTAGCAAATGCCTTATCTATGTCACAGTTAGACACTGATATTCAGTATATTAGACAGTTCTTTTGATAATGATAGCAATTATCCCTGTAGTTTCTCCAGATTCCCGATGGTTCCTCGATGGCCGAATGACAAGGGCTACGCCATGTTTGTTTGTAAACACTGAAAGCCGTCCAAACTTGACCTTTGATATTTGCATCTATATCCGCATATGACCCCAACGGATATCGTTTTTATCCGTTGGCTTTATCCTGCCGAGAAACACACCCATTATATGATAAATATAGTTACATTGCTACTCTGAAATAACACTAAAGATGCGGAATTCGAAGCGACAACCATGTGATTCCGGCACGTCTAAGGGACGCAACTCCGCAACACTGTTGTGAAGAAGAAAAGACTTGTACAAGGATGCCGTGGCTATGGAATGCTGTAAGGGACATTCTCGTGTTTTCAACATTTAAAGACAGCTAGACAGCAGTGTGCAAGAACGCGAGATTTGGCCAATATTGAGTCTTGGCAGGCGAACAAATGGTTGCTACTGTGAGGTGAGGTGAAATTGGGTTTAACGTCGCGTCCAAGATTATTGCACTTATATAGCGACGTGCATGCACGTGTATGTGTGTGTGTGGCTGCTTGTACTAGTCCGGACTGATGCCGATTTATAGTGCTAGCTCACTGAGATACCATGCCGCAGTTTAACATGAATACCCCACTCAGACACAGTATACTGACTCCGAGCCGACCAGTCCTTGTTTTAGCCCCGTAATGCCGATCGCCAGACAGGGTAACAACAAGTACAATCTTTTAACGTCTTTTTGTATGATGCGGCCCGGGATCGAACCCTGGACCTTCCGCTCTCCGGGCGGACGCTCTACCACAAGACCACGGAGGCGGTCTGGTTGCTACTGTGAGTAACGATTCCCCGCCGCTGGGGCCTGATGTTTAACCAACAACCTGGTCATAATTTTCCACTAACAAAAGTTAGGGACCACTTGATTCTTTCATGTTACATGTTACAGTAGTTAATCTGTCAGGACAGATTAGCAATAATGTGAAAGAATACGGTGGTCCTTAACTCTTTTTTTCGGAAGTATAAATTTATGACCACCGATCCCCATTTTGTTTGTTGTTTAAAGCAGCACTCAACAATATTCCAGCTGTATGACGGCGGTCAAGACCAGTAACTGACATCATGAGCATCGATCTTCGCAATTGGGATACGATGACATGCATTAACCGAGTCTGAGCCTGACCGAGTCTCACCACCCGATCCCGTTAGTCGCCGCTTACGACAAGCAAAGGTTGCTGAAGACCAATTCTAAACCAGATCTTCATGGGTCGGGCGAGTGAGTGAGCTCCCCTCGGTGAGGTGGGTCCTAAGTGGTAGCAATAATCTGCAAGGATCTGATTTTCATATTGATGAATAATGGCAGATAAGGGACAACATTCTACACAAGTTCAGAGAGTGGATGTTCCAGGGTCTGGTCCTGTGTCAGATTTAGTTGGCTCGAACATCTACAGAGTGAGTGAGTGAGTGAATGAACATTGTTTAACTGCATCAGCAATTTCACAGTTATTCGCAGGGAATATAACAGCTCGCGGTCACATAGTTGGAATATTTCTGAGTTAAAACAAACTGTATAAATAGGGTAATTACGACATGCTAGATAGATATAAATCTTAATATTTGATTTAGCATCAGGGTTTGAAAAAAACTAGAAAACTAGTCAACACAAACATGTTGATTCGAGTTTCGAAAACTGAACAAAAGAAACTAATTGAATGTTCCCATGTTAACTATTTCAAAGTTGCATGATTAGAAAACACATTCCCACTGCTACTTTCCTGATCTGGTAAGCAACGCTCTGACTGGAACAGCAGAAATGGTCTTCACACATTGTATCGATATTTGGAAACGAACCCAGGCCTTTGTCTGATGAAGATCCAGCTTAGAATAGGGCTTCAGCAACCCATGCTTGCCGTAAAAGGCGACTATGTTTGTCGTGAGGGGCGACTTACGGGATCGGGTGGTCAGGCTGCCGACTCTGTTGATGCACGTCATCAATCTCAAATGCGTGGATCGATGTTCATGATGTCAATCATTGACTGTCTGGTCCAGACATGATTATCTACAGACCACAGTCGTGCTGCAGGAATATTGCTGAGAGAGTTAAACAGCAACAACAAAAAGCTTTGATGAGTGTCCGCTTTAACCACTAGGCTATCCACTGTCCCAGCCACACACTACAAGCAGGGAACCCATGGCCTTTACCTGAAGCATATGGTATAGGCTGCCCGAAAGTCACTTTGAGGATGCAGTAATGTAGATAACAAATACAACACAAAACAAGTACCTGTATCACAATTCTACTTTTATTGCCATACATGAAAATCCACTGGCAGTTTGACAACACCCTCCCGTCATATACATGTTTCCATACAACTAAATACAATGATTCTATCAGTCAAATGACAGTCACGCGGACATCGGCATCCACCCATATACACAAGCAAGGTTTTATCAGGAATATGCAGAGCAAATATGTAATGCTTAGGTGCAGTACAGAAACCATTCATACAACCTAGGAAAATACTTTCTTCATGATTTCATACAAGTTGTGACTTCATATATCTACTTGTTTATAATGGTGGACCGTGAGGATGGTTCTCCAACACTTTCAGGAACATCAAATCAGAGTACGAAATTGAGCTCTGACGTTTAGCATAAAGCGACAATTTCTATTATGAAGGCTACACCACAGACTCATTTCTATTGCGACCCATTTAACATGATACGATGTGAGAAATAACTTCATCGAATCAACTGATTCGTAACATGTAGCGTCAACATTTATTCTCTACTTTATTCCTTATAGCAGTAAATGGATATAAAATAGAGACAATATCCAAGTGAACCTTTTTATCGCTACTGGCTTCTGAAAAATATAATTATTAATTTTAAGTCAGTCATAAATCCTTTACTAAGCAACAACAAAATCTGGATAGTAATCGTCTCAATTATTTCTCAAAAAAGTAAAACATCGGTTTAAAACTAAAAAAGTAAGTCATACAAACATAAACAGTTGTACACCAAATACCATCTTTCAACAAAGAAACAATCTCACCCACAACATAACAAGTATGTAATCATGGTAACACTGTATACACTGTAACACAGGATAGGATTTCATTACATGTGACTAAGGGCAGTTCCATATAATTTGACTGATTTAGAAAGTGATACATTTGATTTCAACATGCATCCTGTTTCTAGTGGGATTCACTGTTTTCTACCAAGTTATCTCCCCTAGAGAACTCTCCACAGTAATACCAGTACAAACACACCACAGGTTATTGGAAGTTTATGTGAACAGTTGAAAGAGTCAAGTATGAAGATATTAAGTAGTATTCTCAAGTGTTAAAATCTGCTTGTCTACCTAACAGTCTTACAAAGCCAACCCTGAGATTTTCAAGCTATTTTTTTTTTCAGTTTGTGGATCGGTTATTTCAGTTTCCAAACCTGGGATTTTATCAACCAGTGACTAAACTCATATTGTTATCCAACATAGTTGATAATTCAGGTTATTCAGATAATTCATCAGCAGTACATTTTATCAAAAAAGGTCATCTTTTCATTTTTTCGTTAACTGGAATTTGTTTTTAAAACAAAAGAATGCCCCTTTGAATATAAGATAGTGGGTCCTTGAACATGTTGAAATTACTGCTTGACCCTTAACCTTGACTGAGAGAAAGTGGACTACCCAAACAAAGTTAGATAAAAAACATACTACTCCACTTCTAATAGAGACATATGCATCTGTCCATTATACACAAACTGATTCTTATAATGTAAAATTTACAGTTAAATAGAATGACATATCTGATTATCCCTATCAAAAGTAGAGCAGTAGACTTCAAAAACAGAAGATTCCGGTCACATTATTTGGCCAGTACATTTGGTAATCTGAGTCAATCCATTTTTACATGTGTGAGAATATTCAGCAAGACTATAATGCCTAAATTGCTATGGGCTGTGCAGTGTTCAAGAGTAATACATTGAGATGGGAATCTGGTTCTCGCCACGAGGACCGATGTTGGTGACATCCGACTGCGACCTTGTCTACAGCATGCGCCGGATCATGTAGTTAAGGATACCACCGTTGCGGAAGTACATCAACTCCACTTCAGTGTCGAAGCGAGCCTTTGCTTGGAATGATCGACTGTCACCAAGCTGTAGAAGATTGAAAATATGTCATCTACAAATATCACGTGACGCAAATAGAAAGACAAGTAATCATAAAACCAATGACAGTATAGCATAGATGATCAACCTTGTATTACAATTGTAGACACGGTTCAGTGTTGATCAAGTATTCATTTGCTGTGAACCGTCAAGGCCCATTCCACAAAGCAATCGTAGCACTAATACAATTGTAACCCTTACATTGTAACACTGACTATGGCTGACAAGGCAGTTGTTTTGAAACTTGGATTTGAGTGAGTGAGTGAGTGATTGATTGAGTGAGTGAGTGAGTTGGGTTTAACGCAGCTTTTAACAGTATTCCAGTTATATCACTGCGTGTCAGCTTAATGTGGGAGGAAAGCCCGAAGTGATGCAGGACTGAGACGTTTATCACTTCGGTGAAACCCACAAGCACGGGTTTGGTGCTGACAAACCTAGAAACATTAAGCAGGGCAAACCGGGATTCGAACCCACAATCATAGGTTTCTGGCGTGCCCAAGGGACGCAACTCTGCACAGCGAATCGCGGCGCCTTAGACGACTGGGCCACCCACGCCCCCCTGGATTTAAGTGAGTGAATTTTACAACAATCTGGCAATATCATGGCGGGGGACTTCAGAAATGGGCTTCACACACTGTACCCATGTGGGGAATCCAACCCAGGCCTTCGGCGCGGTGAGCAAACGCTTTAACCATTAGGCTATCCCACCGCCCCAAATTGGATTTGAACTTCTGTGGAATGTTCCAGCAATATCATGGCGGGGGACATCAGAAATGGGCTTCACACACTGTACCCATGTGGGGAATGGAACCCGGGCCTTTGGCATAGCGAGCAAACACTTTAACCAATAGGCTATCCCACCGTCCCAAATTGGATTTGAACTTCTGTGGAATGTTCCAGCAATATCATGGCAGGGGACATCAGAAATGGGCTTCACACATTGTACCCATGTGGGCAAGCAAACGTTTTAACCACCGCCCCAAATTGCATTTGAACTTTTTTTCTGTTTTCTGTGTGTTTAGTCATTGAAGACAGTTGCGTGACAGGTCTCCACATGGTTGATGAAGGTACTAGCACCTGTTTCCAAACGTCGCGTTGAGTAAGTGAGTGAGTTTGGTTTTATGCTGCTTTTAGCAATATCACAGCAGGGGACACCAGAAATGAGCTTCACACATTGTACCCATATGGGCAATCAAACTCAGGGCTTCGGCTTGACGAGCAAACACTTTAACAACTAGGTTACCTGACAGCCCCCTAAAAATTGACAACTGACCTTGACCTCGATGACCTGGCCAGGTTGAATGTCATCAGGGAGGGTTATGCTGAATGTCTCCTTCCCGCTGAGCTTGAGAGTGTCGGCGTTCTGTCCGTCCAGGTACTGTAGGGGGATCAGACCCATCCCCACCAGGTTGCTGCGGTGAATACGCTCATAACTCTCCGCTATCACAGCTCGTACACCCTGAGGAAAGGAATAACAGAGTCAGTAGGGCCGGTTAATACATTGACATATGACTCATGGAAGTCAAATGTTTGTTGTTTAATGCCGCACTCAGCAATATTCCAGCTATGTGAAGGCGGTCTGTAAATAATCGAGGCTGGACCAGACAATCCAGTGATTGACATCATGAGCATCGATCCACGCAATTGGGATACGATTACATGCATCAACCAAGTCAGCGAGCCTGACAACCTGATCCTGTTACAACAAGCATAGTTGCCTTGTACGGGGAGCATGGGTCGGTAGACAAAAGAGCCCTACTCTGTGCATGAACTTTATATCAACCCTACTGTTGCCTCATATTGACTAGATGGCTGATAGACCGTGGCACATGTTTTACGAGAAATGATACTGTCGATGAAATATAATCTGTATATTCACAAGTGATGGGGGATCCAGGTGGTGGATGTTCACCATATTGGGGGAATTGTTTGAACAGTATTGCAGTCATATCACCGTCTGTCAGCTTGATGAGGGAGGAAAGCCTGCAGTGAAGCAGGTCTAAATTGATTTTTCACTTTGGTGAAACTCGTAAGTACTGGTATGGTGCTGACAAGCCCAGAAACATAAGGGGGGTCTGAACCCATGATCACAGGTTTCTGGCACTCCTAAGGGAGGCTACTCTGCTCAGTGACCTTCAGTGCCTTAGACTGCCGAGCCATGGCGCTCCCAGCAGGTATAAACTAAATCTTGTTCAGGATTTATCTAGGATTCCAAACTGAGAGCCTATGGCCGGCAAATCTTGGAAGAAAATTTCGGAATATTTTCATCATGATTATTTTCCAAAATTCAGAGGTATGTTGAACATTGTATTTAATGCAGTAATCTAAAACTAAGTACAGTTATCAATGAACACACTTCTCCGCAACATAACCATAACATTAGTTCTGAGTATAATAACATGAATTAGGAATTCTTTAATAGGTGAGTGAGTGTGTGAGTATTGTTTTACGCAGCTTTTAGCCATATTCCAGCAATATCACGGCGGGGGGACACCAGACATGGGCTTCGCATATTGTACCCATGTTGGGAATCGAACCAGGGTCTTCGTTGTGACAATTTTTTAATAAAGTGTGTAAACAAATGATGGACTCACAAGCATGAATGGACCCTTTGCTGCCCAGTCTCGTGAGGACCCGGACCCATAATCCTTGCCGGCCAGAATAACCAGCGTCTTGTTGTCCTTGCGGTATCTCTCTGCTGCATCAAACACATCCATCTACAACAAAATACCGTAGCAATCATAGCCAGCTGCACCAGTTAGTACGTATTTCCTGTATATATTAACCCCTCATTGTATCACTGCATCATCCCTGTATATATTACCCCCTCACTGTATCACTGCATCACCCCTGCATATATTACCACCTCACTGTATCACTGCATCACCCCTGTATATATAACCCCCTCACTGTATCACTGCATCACCCCTGTATATATTACCCCCTCACTGTATCACTGCATCACCCCTGTATATATTACCCCCTCATTGTATCACTGCATCACCCCTGTATATATTACCCCCTCATTGTATTACTGCATCACCCCTGTATATATTACCACCTCACTGTATCACTGCATCACCCCTGTATATATAACCCCCTCACTGTATCACTGCATCACCCCTGTATATATTACCCCCTCATTGTATCACTGCATCACCCCTGTATATATTACCCCCTCACTGTATCACTGCATCACCCCTGTATATATTACCCCCTCACTGTATCACTGCATCACCCCTGTATATATTACCCCCTCACTGTATCACTGCATCACCCCTGTATATATTACCCCCTCACTGTATCACTGCATCACCCCTGTATATATTACCCCCTCACTGTATCACTGCATCACCCCTGTATATATTACCCCCTCATTGTATCACTGCATCACCCCTGTATATATTACCCCCTCACTGTATCACTGCATCACCCCTGTATATATTACCACCTCACTGTATCACCCCTGTATATATTACCCCCTCACTGTATCACCCCTGTATATATTACCCCCTCATTGTATCACTGCATCACCCCTGTATATATTACCACCTCACTGTATCACTGCATCACCCCTGTATATATTACCCCCTCACTGTATCACTGCATCACCCCTGTATATATTACCCCCTCACTGCATCACTGCATCACCCCTGTATATATAACCCCCTCACTGTATCACTGCATCACCCCTGTATATATTACCCCCTCATTGTATCACTGCATCACCCCTGTATATATTACCCCCTCACTGTATCACTGCATCACCCCTGTATATATTACCACCTCACTGTATCACTGCATCACCCCTGTATATATTACCCCCTCACTGTATCACTGCATCACCCCTGTATATATTACCCCCTCACTGTATCACTGCATCACCCCTGTATATATTACCCCCTCATTGTATCACTGCATCACCCCTGTATATATTACCCCCTCACTGTATCACTGCATCACCCCTGTATATATTACCACCTCACTGTATCACCCCTGTATATATTACCACCTCACTGCATCACCCCTGTATATATTACCCCCTCACTGTATCACTGCATCACCCCTGTATATATTACCCCCTCATTGTATCACTGCATCACCCCTGTATATATTACCCCCTCACTGTATCACTGCATCACCCCTGTATATATTACCCCCTCACTGTATCACTGCATCACCCCTGTATATATTACCCCCTCACTGCATCACTGCATCACCCCTGTATATATTACCCCCTCACTGTATCACTGCATCACCCCTGTATATATTACCCCCTCACTGCATCACCCCTGTATATATTACCCCTGTATATATTACCTCCCTGTATATATAACCTCCTCACCGCATCACCCCTGTATATATTACCCCCTCACTGCATCACTCCTGTATATATTACCTTCCTGTATATATTACCTCCCTGTATATATTACCTCCCTGTATATATTACCTCCTCACTGCATCACCCCTGTATATATTACCTCCTCACTGCATCACCCCTGTATATATTACCCCCTCACGGGATCACCCCTGTATATATTACCTCCTCTCCACTAGGTATATGGACAGTCCTGGGACCTGGCTTGCTAACAAACTTGTTGACCAATCGGATGTTGGCAAATGTTCCACGTGCCATAACTGAGTCATGCCCTCGACGAGAGCCATAGGAGTTGAACTGACGTGGCACCAGGCTGGAACCAAACACACATACATGGTTAAATCTGGGATTGACATTGAATTTGTTCAGCATATTTATTCAATTTGCTTGCAGGTGTTCAATGCTACAATTAACACTATTCAAGCAAGGCGGCCTGTACATAATGTAGTCTGGACCAGACAAACCAGTGACTGACATTACAGTTCATGATAACTAGCATCTGCATTGCCTAAGTTTTTAATAGTAATGCTTTGTTTAAAAGTGGCATTGTTTTTGTAAATCTAGGGTTAAAAGATTAATAACTGCATCAACAATAATTTCAATAGTGTGAGTGAGTGAGTTGGGATTAACGCCACTTTTAACAGTATTCAAGTTATATCACGGTGTGTCAGCTTAAACTGGGAGGAAAGCCCGAAGTGATGCAGGTTTCAGACGTTCACCACTTCAGTGAAACACACGAGCACGGGTATGGTGCTGACAAACCTAGAAACATAATCAGAGCTTGCCAAGATTCGAACCCACAATCATAGATTTCTGGCGTGCCCAACGGATGCAACTCTGCACAATGAATCGCAGCGCCTTGGACGACTGGGGCACCCGTGTCCCTAATTTTAAAAGTGAGTGTTGGTTGGTTGGTTGGTTGGTTTGTTGTTTAACGCTGCACTCAACAATATTCGAGCTATATGACGGCGGTCTGTAAACAATCGAGTCTGGACCAGACAATGCAGGGTTTCACATCGTGAGCATCGATCCATGCAATTGGGATACGATGGCATGCATCAACGAAGTCAGCGAGCCTGACCACCCGATCCCGTTAGTCGTCTCTTAAGACAAGTATAGTCGCCTTTTACGTCAAGCATTGGTTGCTGAAGACCTTTTCTACCCCGGATCTTCACAGGTCTAAAAGTGAGTGAGTGAGTGAGTGAGTTTAGTTTAACACCGCTTTTAACAGTATTCCAGTTATATTCCGGCGTGTCAGCTTAATGTGGGAGGAAAGCCCGAAGTGATGCAGGTCTCAGACATTTACCACTTCGGTGAAACCAACGAGCAAGGGTATGGTGCTGACAAACCTAGAAACATAATCGGGGCGAACCATGGATTCGAACTCACAATCATAGGTTTCCGGCATGCCCAAGGGACGCAACTCTGTACAGCGAATTGCGGCGCCTTAGACGCCTTGGCCGCCCGTGCCCCCAGTGAGTGAGTGAGTTGGGTTGGGTTCAACAGTGCATTCAACAGTATTTTCGTGAGACAAGATGCCATGCACATCATACATTTATCACGCTACAAGCACAGGCATGGTCCTGACAAACCCAGAATAATCATCATCGGGACATGTCTGGGATTCGAACAATCATTTATGACTAGGCCACAAGGCAAAGTCACCAACGACTGGGCCACAAGGCAGTGTCACCAACGACTGGGCCACAAGGCAGTGTCACCAACGACTGGGCCACAAGGCAGTGTCACCGACGACTGGGCCACAAGGCAGTGTCACCAACGACTGGGCCACAAGGCAGTGTCACCAACGACTGGGCCACAAGGCAGTGTCACCAACGACTGGGCCACAAGGCAGTGTCACAGACGACTGGCCACAAGGCAGTGTCACAGACGACTGGGCCACAAGGCAGTGTCACAGACAACTGGGCCACAAGGCAGTGTCAACGACGACTGGGCCACAAGGCAGTGTCACCGACGACTGGGCCACAAGGCAGTGTCACAGACAACTGGGCCACAAGGCAGTGTCACCGATGACTGGGCCACAAAGCAGTGTCACAGAGAACTGGGCTACAAGGCAATGTCACCAACGACTGGGCCACAAGGCAGTGTCACCGACGACTGGGCCACAAGGCAGTGTCACAGACGACTGGGCCACAAGGCAGTGTCACAGACAACTGGGCCACAAGGCAGTGTCACAGACGACTGGGCCACGAGGCAGTGCCAAATTAAGTTTAGGTAATACAACTACGTAGATCCACTTCTTACCCTCTGCTGGAGAGGTATCTGGCAGCACTGCTGTTCCTGGCAATGCTCCCAGCAGGTGAGATGTGATCGGTCGTCACTGAGTCCCCAAGGTTCAGCAGCACATGGGCATCAGTAACTTCGGGCAGGGTGGTCGGCAGCTCCCTCGTCTGTAACAACACACCACCTCAACAAACAGCAAACAGTGACATGTCATATAACAGTGAGTGAGTGAGTGAGTTTGGTTTTACGCCGCTTTTAGCAATATTCCAGCAATATCACGGCGGGGGCCACCAGAAATGGGCTTCACACATTGTACCCATGTCGGGATTCGAACCTGGGTCTTCGGCGTGACGAGCGAACGCTTTAACCACTAGGCTACCAGACCGCCCCTCATATAACAGAGCTTACCATGGATCAAAACTTGACTAGAGGACGGAAATATAGCATGACAAGGGGCAATGCCATGGATGTTGAGAATGGGCTGGGGTTTATTATGCTTTGTCAGCTTGGTCAGGGATTATATGGACCCACTTACACATGATACAGGTTTAACACTGCACTCAGCAATATTTCAGCCAAATGATGGCCACCTGTAAACAATCGACACCCCGCCAGGGTATGATGATGCAAAATCAAACCCTGAGTGTGAGTATGGTCTTACGCCGCTTTTAGCAATATTCCAGCAATATCACGGCGGGGGATGCCAGAAATGGGCTTCACACATTGAACCCATGTTGGGAGTCGAACCCGGGTCTTCGGCGTGACGAGCAAACGCTTTAACCACTAGGCTACCTGACTGCCCTCTCAAACCCTGACCACCTGATCCGTTTGGTCACAGCCTCTTATGACCAGCATAGGTTGTTGGGGTCATGGAAAGGCAGTGAGGTAGATCTCCCTCGGAACAGTCGAGTGTGTCTCAGCACGGTACAACTCACCATGCCGTCAAAGAATGGCGGTGACTTGATGTAGGTGGAACTGTCTTCCCATGGGAAGAGCATGGTCTCCGGAGCCTCCAGCGAGTTCCACCTAGTGTTTCCCTTCTGCAATAGAACATTAAGGGCAGGTGAAATGGGGTTCAACCTCGCAGTCAACATTACTGCGCTTATATTCTGCTATATAATGCTGACAAGCAAAAGTTTTGTTTGTATGTGTGTGTGTGTGTGCATGTGTGTGTGTGTGTATGCATGTGCTTGTCTGTGTGTGTGCATGTGCTTGTCTGTGTGAGTGCGTGTGTCTGTGCATGTAAGAGTGTGTTTGTATGTGTGTGCATGTGCTTGTATGTGTGTGCATGTGCTTGTCTGTGTGCATATAAGTGTGTGTCTGTGTATGTCTCTGGCTGCTTGTACTAGTCTCGACGTATACCAGTTTAATGATGTTAACCTAATGAGATACCGTGCCACAGTTTAACATGGATACCCCACTCAGACACTGTATACTAACTCCGACCCTTCCAGTCCTTGTCATATACCCTTAATGCTGAGCACCAGCCTGGGTAACAATAAATACCATCATACATATGAAACGGCCAGGGATCGAAACGGCCAGGGATCGAACCACCATCCTTCCACTCTCCAGGCAAACACTGTATCCACTAGACTACGGAGGCAGTGTAATACAACATTAAAGAAGTGAGTTTGGAGTGAGGAGTGAGTACGGTTTTACACCCCTTTTAGCAATATTCCAGCAATATCACAGCGGGGACACCAAAGATGGTCTTGACACACTGTACCCATGTCGGGAATCAAACCCTTGTCCTCGGAATGACGAGCACACACTTTAACCACAAGGCTACCCAACCACCCTTGTGAGTCTGTGATAGGTCTGCGGTGAAATACTTTGTAGTGATGCGATACGACAGCACGTGTCACGTCACCTACTCTAGCCGTGTAGCCCAACAGGAAGGGCAATGGGGAAACACATGCTGCATGACTTTAAGTAAGTACTTACTGATATTCTAGAGTAAACATCTTGGAACATGGCTGGTACCACGTTTTCTTTTTCAATTTCCTGTGGATAGAAAATGTTATTTCTTTAAGGACTGGTTGAAGATGGCAAACACTTTAACAACATGCAGGGCGAGGAACAAAATGTACATAAAACATCTTCAGGTTGACCTTAGAAATACAAGACGTAAAGTTCTGATTACTGCATGGTTGTTTGTTTGTTTGTTTGTTTGTTTGTTTGTTTGTTTGTTTGTTGTTTAAAGCCACAGTCAGCAATATTCCAGCTAGATTCCAGCAGTCTGTAACTAATCAAGTTTGGACAAGATAACAGTGATCAATTCATGAGCAGCCTCCAATGATGTTGATAACACAATCTATCAAGTCAACAAGGTTGATCACCCCATCCATTGAGTAGCCTTGTACGTCATGCATGGGTAGCAGAGATCAATGTAATAGAAATGAATATAGTATTTATTTCTTCTTTCAACACAAATGACAAATATTGAAACACATAACTTGAATATAATGAACAGCCACTGAGTTCCACACCAAACGCCCACCCACCCACACAATATTTTCAAAAGTCATTGCCTGAGAACCATTCTTTTCTTTTTTAAAGCCTATGTGCTCCTAGTTCACCTGGATTTCTTGTCTGGTGGGCCAGATGTCGCGCAGGTAGACCTCCTTGCCTTCTGGGGTTGTGCCTGGAACAAACATCACAACATGTCTCAACATCAAAATACAGAAGACTTCCTAATAGCATATCATATATATTGTACTCTGTGGCACCCTCTCTCTCTTTTCCTCTCCCCCTCCCACCCCCTCTCTCTCCCTCCCTCTCTCTCCCTCCCTCTCTCCCCTCCCTCTCTCCCCCTCCCTCTCTCTCTCCCTCCCTCTCCCCTCTCTCTCTCCCTCCCTCTCCCCTCTCTCTCCCACTCCCTCTCTCTCTCCTTCCCTCTCCCCTCTCTCTCTCCTTCCCTCTCCCCTCTCTCTCTCCCTCCCTCTCCCTCTCTTTCCCACTCCCTCTCCTCTCTCTCTCCCTCCCTCCCTCTCCCCTCTCTCTCCTTCCCTCTCCCACTCTCTCCCTCCCTCTCCTCTCTCTCCCTCCCTCTCCCCCTCCCTCCCTCTCCCCTCTCTCCCTCCCTCTCCCACTCCTCTTTCCCTCTCTCCCACTATCTCTCTCTCCCACTATCTCTCTCTCCCCTCTCTCCTCCCCCCTCCCTCCCTCTCCCCTCTCTCTCTCCCTCCCTCTCCCCTCTCTATCCCTCCCTCTCCCACTCTCTCTCCTTCCCTCTCCCCTCTCTCTCTCCTTCCCTCTCCTCCCTCTCCCTCTTTCCCACTCCCTCTCTCTCTCCCTCCCTCCCTCTCTCCCTCCCTCTCTCCTCTCTCTCTCCCTCCCTCTCCCCTCTCTCTCCCTCCCTCTCCCACTCTCTCTCCCTCCCTCTCCTCTCTCTCCCTCCCTCTCTCTCTCCCTCCCTCTCCCCTCTCTCTCCCTCCCTCTCCCACTCTCTCCTCTCTATCTCCCTCCCTCTCCTCTCTCTCTCCCTCCCTCTCCCCTCTCTCTCTCCTTCCCTCTCCTCTCTCTCTCCCTCCCTCTCCCACTCCCTCTCTCTCTCCTTCCCTCTCCTCTCTCTCTCCCTCCCTCTCCCCTCTCTCTCTCCCTCCCTCTCTCTCTCCTTCCCTCTCCCCTCTCTCTCTCCCTCCCTCTCTCTCTCCTTCCCTCTCCCCTCTCTCTCTCCCTCCCTCTCCCACTCCCTCTCCTTCCCTCTCCTCTCTCTCTCCCTCCCTCTCCCCTCTCTCTCTCCCTCCCTCTCTCTCTCCTTCCCTCTCCCCTCTCTCTCTCCCTCCCTCTCCCTCTTTCCCACTCCCTCTCTCTCCCTCCCTCTCTCCCTCCCTCTCTCCTCTCTCTCTCCCTCCCTCTCCCACTCTCTCCCTCTCTCCCTCCCTCTCTCCCCTCTCTCTCCCTCCCTCTCCCTCTCTCCCCTCTCTCTCCCTCCCTCCCTCTCTCCCTCCCCTCTCTCTCCCTCCCTCTCCCACTCTCTCCCTCTCTCCCCTCTCTCTCCCTCCCTCCCTCTCTCCCCTCTCTCTCCCTCCCTCTCCCCTCTCTCTCCCTCTCTCTCCCACTCTCTCCTCTCTCTCTCCCTCCCTCTCTCCCCTCTCTCTCCCTCCCTCTCCCCTCTCTCTCCCTCCCTCTCCCACTCTCTCCTCTCTCTCTCCCTCCCTCTCCTCTCTCTCTCCCTCCCTCCCTCTCTCCCTCCCTCCCTCTCTCTCCCTCCCTCTCTCCCTCCCTCTCTCCTCTCTCTCTCCCTCCCTCTCCCCTCTCTCTCCCTCCCTCCCTCTCCCCTCTCTCTCCCTCCCTCCCTCTCTCCCTCCCTCCCTCCCTCTCCCTCCCTCTCTCTCTCCCTCCCTCTCTCCTCTCTCTCTCCCTCCCTCTCCCCTCTCTCTCCCTCCCTCCCTCTCTCCCTCCCCTCTCTCTCCCTCCCTCTCCCCTCTCTCCCTCCCTCTCCCACTCCTCTTTCCCTCTCTCCCACTATCTCTCTCTCCCACTATCTCTCTCTCCCCTCTCTCCCCCCCCCTCCCTCCCTCTCCCCTCCCTCTCTCCCTCCCTCTCCCCCTCCCTCTCCCTCTCCCCTCTCTCTCTCCCTCCCTCTTTCCCACTCCCTCTCTCTCTCCCTCCCTCCCTCTCTCCTCTCTCTCTCCCTCCCTCTCCCCTCTCTCTCCCTCCCTCTCCCACTCTCTCTCCCTCCCTCTCCTCTCTCTCCCTCCCTCTCTCCTCTCTCTCCCTCCCTCTCCCCTCTCTCCCTCCCTCCCTCTCTCCCTCCCTCTCTCCTCTCTCTCCCTCCCTCTCCTCTCTCCCTCCCTCTCCCACTCTCTCTCCCTCCCTCTCCTCTCTCTCCCTCTCTCTCCCTCTCCCCTCTCTCTCTCCCTCCCTCTCCCACTCCTCTTTCCCTCTCTCCCACTATCCCTCTCTCCCACTATCTCTCTCTCCCCTCTCTCCCCCCCCCCCCCCTCTCTCTCTCTCTCCCTCCCTCTCTGTTGTGTTTGTGTGTTAATAATAATTATTATTAACACAAATTAGGCCATTTTTAATTAGAGTTTTACAATTTATATAATTTGTTGATGAACCAGGAATCACTAAACAAATAATACATACAAACATGCGACAGAAGGATAGAAGAATAGAGTCCTACCGAGTGGCTGTGTCTCGAAGTCTATACACACAGTTCCCGCCAGGGCGTAGGCAATCACCAGCGGGGGAGAAGCCAGGTAGTTGGCTCTTGTCAGTGGATGTATACGCCCTTCGAAGTTCCGGTTGCCAGACAGAACCCCGCAGGTCACTAGTTCCCCCTGAGGGAAGGTCATCACAGACTTACAGTCCACAGTTCCAATAAACAAGTACATTAAATGGCATAACCCTGAACTTAAATGATTAAAAAATAAACAAATAAAACCCAAAAATATATAGCATGTCTTTGTTTGTTATTTATCACCGAACGCGGAAGTATTGCAGCTATATGACAGCGGTCTGTAAATAGTCGAGTAGGGACCATTCATTCTAGTGATTGACATCACGAGCATCGATTTATGCATTTGGGATACAAATGACATGACAGAGAGCAGTCGAAAAAAATAAAATATTTCATATTCTGTATATTGCTTTTATCTTTTTTATTCCCATTCTGTAAATCAAAAATCAAACAATTGTGTCGTTACCTTCTCTATCCCCTCTGCTACAGAGTCAGGGAGCGGCCCGCTGTTCCCGATACACGTCATACAGCCATACCCTACAATACTGAACCTGTGAAAAATAACAGAAAAAAACACAAATAAAAATAGAAAGAATCCACATCCAAAGTGACATTCCCAGTCTAAAATCATAACAGCTCTGCCACCATAAAGTGAAAGTTGTCCTTTTCATGTAAATATTTGAGATCATAATATATATTTTTAACTCAAAATGCTCAAATTGTTAACGAGTTTTAAAATGTCATGACCTGATCCGTATCTCACAGGTTGATATAAGATCTATATCACCTGTGAATACATACGGCCACAGTGCAGTGTCTCAATGATGTTTGTTTATTTGTACAGCAGATGGCTGTAAGTTTGTTTGCTGTTTAACGCCACACTCAGCAATATTACAACTCTTTGACAACAGCCTGTAAATAATCGAATCTGGACCAGACAATCCAATGATTCACATTGTGAGCAATGATCCACGCTGGTGGGGGATGATCAACATTGACGTGAGTACGTCCTGGGTACCCTCCCTCTGCCTCTGCTTGATTGAGTGGTTAAAAAAAACAATGCAATGCGTAAGTTTGTTGTTTCTTTGTTTAACGCAATATTCCACCTATATGACGGCGGTCTGTAAATAATCAAGTCTGGACCAGACATTCCAGTGATATCAAAAGCATTGATCTACACATTTGGGATCAATGACATGCATGAACCAAGTCAGTGAGCCTGACCACCTAATCCCGTTAGTCCCCTCTTACGACAAGCACAGTCGCCTTTTATGGCAAGCATCATTTGCTGAAGACCAATTTGGATCTTCATGGTACCACTTCGGTGAAACCCACGAGCATGGGGCAAACCGAGATTCCAACCCACAATCATAGGTTCCTGGCGCGCCCAAGGGACACAACTCTGCACAAAGGATCGCAGTGCCTTAGACGACTGGGCCACCCGTGTCCCCGTAGTCCATATAGTCTTGTTGATGCCCCTGATCACAAAGATGCACTGCTACAATACTCAGTCACACTGCATAACATCGGGACATAAGGTCTCTATCTGCTCACAAGCAATAAAACATGTCTAATGGTGAGTGAATGAGTGAGTGAGTGAGTTGGGTTTAACGCCGCTTTGAACAGTATTCCAGTTATATAACGGCATGTCAGATTAACTTGGGAAGAAAGCCTGAAGTGATGCAGGTGTCAGATGTTTACCACTTTGGTGAAACCCACGAGCACCGGTATGGTGCTGACAAACCTGGTACCATAATCGGGGCGAATCTGGGTTCGAACCCATGTCAGTGGTCAAGACCTAAGTTCACCACTTTACCCATGAGCATGGTGCTGACAAACTAAGGATCACAATCAAGATGAATAGGAGATTTCAACCCACCATAAGATCCTGGCATGTTTAAGGGAGGCAAATCTGCAGAGTGAATTGTTCTTCAGACAACTAGGCCAACCATGCCCAAAAAGGCCATGAAAGCCATGCCCAAGAGGACCATGAAAACCATGCCCAAGAAGGCCATGAAAAAAACATGGTCCAGAAGGCCATGAAAACCATGCCCAAGAAGACCATTAAAACCATGCCCAAGAAGACCATTAAAACCATGCCCAAGAAGACTATGAAAACATTGCCCAAGAAGACCATTAAAACCATGCCCAAGAAGACCATTAAAACCATGCCCAAGAAGACCATTAAAACCATGCCCAAGAAGACCATTAAAACCATGCCCAAGTAGACCATTAAAACCATGCCCAAGAAGACCATTAAAACCATGCCCAAGAAGACCATTAAAACATTGCCCAAGAAGACCATTAAAACCATGCCCAAGAAGACCATTAAAACCATGCCCAAGAAGACCATTAAAACCATGCCCAAGAAGACCATTAAAACCATGCCCAAGAAGACTATGAAAACATTGCCCAAGAAGACCATTAAAACCATGCCCAAGAAGACCATTAAAACCATGCCCAAGAAGACCATTAAAACCATGCCCAAGAAGACCATTAAAACCATGCCCAAGAAGACTATGAAAACATTGCCCAAGAAGACCATTAAAACCATGCCCAAGAAGACCATTAAAACCATGCCCAAGAAGACCATTAAAACCATGCCCAAGAAGACTATGAAAACATTGCCCAAGAAGACCATTAAAACCATGCCCAAGAAGACCATTAAAACCATGCCCAAGAAGACCATTAAAACCATGCCCAAGCCCAAGAAGACCATTAAAACCATGCCCAAGAAGACTATGAAAACATTGCCCAAGAAGACCATTAAAACCATGCCCAAGAAGACCATTAAAACCATGCCCAAGAAGACCATTAAAACCATGCCCAAGAAGACTATGAAAACATTGCCCATGAAAACAATGACTAGTAAAACACATTTTTCACCCTTCATGACTGGCTGTGAGTCCTTACCCTAGTTTCTCCAGATAGGGCGTGACCCCACTCTCGCGGAGATAGTAAGTGACGACTCCGCTCCCCGGGGAGAGACTAGTCTTGATGTAGGGCTTCACTGATAGACCTGCTTCCACGGCCTTCTTGGCCAGGAGACCTGAAACAGCGGAAGCATGTGTAAAGTACAGTTTTTAACAAGAAATCAAGCCATATAATTTTCAGGGTTGAAAGATCGAGTGTAAGAACTTTCAGATATTCAGGACTTACCTGGGTCTATCCATTTTCGAGTCCAAAACTCCCTGTAATAAGATTGACATGAATTTGTGGGTCCACTGCATTGATTTCTAGGAATTTCACTGATGTCAGATCATTGTTAGGTTTTGCAGAATTTTCCTATTCGGAATATTCTATAAGTAATACGTTACCACTGGGCTGCTGCCCGCCCGTCCCCCGAGCACTTGCTCTCGCAAGAGACAAGAGTGAAGGTTGTCACATGGCAGCTAGGTGGCTAAGGAGGTAATTGAGATCTCTGTGGAAGATTTCGTTATAAGAGCAGTTGTGGGGGACAACAGCCTCGGTATAACAGTGGTAACGTATTACTTAATGTAATTATTTGATTCAAACAGCCAAACTTTTTTGTATCCTGCTGGACATGCAATGTAAATATCCGGAACCATTTACAATTTTTATGCATACAGAATATCATGAGTATCGATCCACGCAATTGGGATCGATGACATGCATCCACTAAGTCAGCGAGCCTGACCACCCGATCCCGCCTTTTACGACAAGCATAGTCACCTTTTACGGCAAGCATGGGTTGCTGAAGACCTATGCTACCCGGAATCTTCACGGGTCGGCTTTGCGATTGAAAAAAAACATATAAACTCATTGTATGGGTGCCCACAGGTACCCAGAGGCATCATGGTGCCACGTGTACCCCAGGGCATCATGGTGCCACGTGTACCCAGGGGCATCATGGTGCCACGTGTACCCCAGGGCATCATGGTGCCACGTGTACCCAGGGGCATCATGGTGCCTCGTGGAGCCCGGGCATCTTCATGCTGCATGTACCCCAGGGCATCATTGTGGCCACATGTTCCCTGGGTCATCATCATGCTGCGTGTACCCCAGGGCATCATTGTGGCCACATGTTCCCTGGGTCATCTTCATGCTGCATGTACCCCAGGGCATCATTGTGGCCACATGTTCCCTGGGTCATCATCATGCTGCGTGTACCCAGGGACATCATTGTGGCCACATGTTCCCTGGGTCATCATCTTGCTGCGTGTACCCCAGGGCATCATTGTGGCAACTTGTTCCCTGGATCATCATCATGCTGTATGTACCCCAGGGCATCATTTTGGCCACATGTTCCCTGGGTCATCATCATGCCGCGTGTACCCCAGGGCATCATTGTGGCCACATGTTCCCTGGGTCATCATCTTGCCGCGTGTACCCCAGGGCATCATTGAGGCCACATGTTCCCTGGGTCATCATCATGCTGCGTGTACCCCAGGGCATCATTGTGGCCACATGTTCCCTGGGTCATCATCATGCTGCGTGTACCCCAGGGCATCATTGTGGCCACATGTTCCCTGGGTCATCATCATGCCGCGTGTACCCCAGGGCATCATTGTTGCCACATGTTCCCTGGGTCATCATCATGCGGCGTGTACCCCAGGGCATCATTGTGGCCACATGTTCCCTGGGTCATCATCATGCTGCGTTTACCCCAGGGCATCATTGTGGCCACATGTTCCCTGGGTCATCATCATGCCGCGTGTACCCCAGGGCATCATTGTGGCCACATGTTCCCTGGGTCATCATCATGCTGCGTGTACCCCAGGGCATCATTGTGGCCACATGTTCCCTGGGTCATCATCATGTTGCATGTACCCCAGGGCATCATTGTGGCCACATGTTCCCTGGGTCATCATCATGCCGCGTGTACCCCAGGGCATCATCATGCCGCGTGTACCTAGGGGCATCATTGTGGCCACATGTTCCCTGGGTCATCATCATGCAGCGTGTACCCCAGGGCATCATTGTGGCCACATGTTCCCTGGGTCATCATCATGCCGCGTGTACCCCAGGGCATCATTGTGGCCACATGTTCCCCGGGGCATCATCATGCTGCGTGTACCCAGGGGCATCATCATGTTGCGTGTACCCAGGGGCATCATCATGCTGCGTGTACCCAGGGTCATCATCATGTTGCGTGTACCCAGGGGCATCATCATGTTGCGTGTACCCAGGGGCATCATCATGCTGCGTGTACCCAGGGGCATCATCATGCTGCGTGTACCCAGGGTCATCATCATGCTGCGTGTACCCAGGGGCATCATCATGCTGCGTGTACCCAGGGGCATCATCATGCTGCGTGTACCCAGGGGCATCATCATGCTGCGTGTACCCAGGGTCATCATCATGCTGCGTGTACCCAGGGTCATCATCATGCTGCGTGTACCCAGGGGCATCATCATGCTGCGTGTACCCAGGGTCATCATCATGCTGCGTGTACCCAGGGGCATCATCATGCTGCGTGTACCCAGGGGCATCATCATGCTGCGTGTACCCAGGGGCATCATCATGCTGCGTGTACCCAGGGGCATCATCATGCTGCGTGTACCCAGGGTCATCATCATGTTGCGTGTACCCAGGGGCATCATCATGTTGCGTGTACCCACCTGCTCCTAGCATGACGGAGGGGTTGCTGGTGTTGGTGCAGCTGGTGATGGCAGCGATGACGACAGAGCCATGGCTTATTGTGTACTCCTGGTTGTCGTAAACGACAGGCACTGTTGTTGACAGCTTGTCTTCGGGAAGGCCGAAACCCTACAAGGACATAACACAGAGTGAGTGAGCGAGTGAGTTTGGTTTTACACCGCTTTTAGGTCTGTCAATTACTGCACCCCAACGTCAACAGGTCATGGACAATTGCAATATACCAATAGGTCTGTCAATTATTACACCCCTACGCCATCAGGTCATGGACTATTGCAATATACCAATAGGTCTGTCAATTATTACACCCAACGCCATCAGGTCATGGACTATTGCAATATACCAATAGGTCTGTCAATCATTACACCCCAACACCTTCAGGTCATGGACAATTGCAATATACCAATAGGTCAGTCAATTACAGCACCCCAACACCATCAGGTCATGGACAATTGCAATATACCAATAGGTCAGTCAATTATTGCACCCCAATGCCATCAGGTCATGGACAATTGCAATATACCAATAGGTCAGTCAATTATTACACCCCTACAAGGGCAACACTTTTGGCCCCAGGTTACTGACCTTGAAGCCGACCTTGGTGGACAGACAGCTGAAGAAGTCTGACTTCATGTCGGAGACAGACACACGGTCATGCGGACGTTTAGGCCCTGAGCAGCATGGCACTACACTGGCAAGATCAAGTTCAACAATCTGAAAAAATACACTAGACTTTAGATTCTGTAGTTCTGGCACAGAATTCTAGAGTAAATCAATGGAGAGTGGGGGCAGGCCTCAGCCTGCAATATGTGAATGGAGGACTTGAATCATGAAGCCTGAGACGGGTCCTTGAATCTTGGAGAGTGGGATGGTGCCTTGAATCATGGAGAGTGAGACGGGGTCTTGAATCATGGAGAGTGAGACGAGGCCTTGAATCATGGAGAGTGGGATGGGGCCTTGAATCATGGAGAGTGAGACAGGGGTCTTGAATCATGGAGAGTGAGACAGGGTCTTGAATCATGGAGAGTGAGACGAGGCCTTGAATCATGGAGAGTGGGATGGTGCCTTGAATCATGGAGAGTGAGACGGGGTCTTGAATCATGGAGAGTGAGACGAGGCCTTGAATCATGGAGAGTGAGACGAGGCCTTGAATCATGGAGAGTGGGATGGGGCCTTGAATCATGGAGAGTGAGACGGGGTCTTGAATCATGGAGAGTGAGACGAGGCCTTGAATCATGGAGAGTGAGACGGGGTCTTGAATCATGGAGAGTGGGATGGGGCCTTGAATCATGGAGAGTGAGACGGGGTCTTGAATCATGGAGAGTGAGACGAGGCCTTGAATCATGGAGAGTGAGACGGGGTCTTGAATCATGGAGAGTGAGACGGGGTCTTGAATCATGGAGAGTGAGACGAGGCCTTGAATCATGGAGAGTGAGACGGGGTCTTGAATCATGGAGAGTGAGACGAGGCCTTGAATCATGGAGAGTGGGATGGGGCCTTGAATCATGGAGAGTGAGACGGGGTCTTGAATCATGGAGAGTGAGACGAGGCCTTGAATCATGGACAGTGGGATGGGGCCTTGAATCATGGAGAGTGGGATGGGGCCTTGAATCGTGGAGAGTGAGCATGGTGAGATTGGGCCTTGAATCGTGGACAGTGAGATTGGGCCTTGAATCACGGGACAGCAAGATAAGCATGTAGGATCTACCTGTGAGAAGACTGGGTCCTGAGAGGCATCGCTGAAGTCACGGAACATCTTGTTCACCTTCATATATTTCTCAATGAAGTTCAGCTTCTCTTCCGCTCTGCCTGAAAAATAAACATGACAATATGTAACTGTGTCCTTGAAGCAAGTGCACCAACACCATGAACACAGCATTACGCTGCGAGCAAGTGCACCAACACAGCATTATGCTGCAAGCAAGTGCACCAACACAGCATAATGCTGCGATCACTACACCATATTCGTCATAAATCCAGGTTTGTGTTAAAGTTTCAACAATGTTTAGTCAGATTTGTAATATTCCCATCAACTCATCTATATCCGGCAGATAATACATGTAGTAACCATGATAACAGTAACAGCATGTTAAATATCAATCGACAGAAATACATTAAGTCTCTGAAAACCAAGTCTATAATTTTCAAATGTCATCATCTTTCTATGTTAAACTTACTCAACAGACACAGACTGCGATTTAATTGTGAAAGTTAGTATATTCTGATAACTTTGAATGTTTGTTGTTTAATGTCGCACTCAGCAATATTCCAGCTATGTGACGGCAGTGTGACTAAATAATCGAATCTGGACCAGACAATCCAGTGATTGACATCATGAGCATCAATCCACTCAATTGGGATACGATGGTATGCATCAACCAGGGCAGTGAGCCTGACCAACAGATCCCATTAGTCGCCTCTTATGACAATCATAATTGCCTCTTACGGCAAGCATGGGCTGCTGAAGATAAATTCTGACCCGGATCAACATAGTCAATATGATAACACTAAAATATGCTGAAAATGATGATAAAAGCCAAAATTTTTTGGCACAGACTCCAGCTGTGATAACATCGAGTACAAACCCGACCTTAGTCTGTCTTACAGACCCTGATACAAATATATCAAATACAGCCCATGCAAGTCTATAATGTTTGGCAAGTCTAGATTACTTCTGAAAATGAAGTGAGTCTCTGGGCTCCTTTTTATTACATTTTTATTAAGATAATTCAACAACTTTTTTCCGGTATGATATGTTCATTTATCATCCAAAACTGGCTCCCACAGGAGATATCGCTTGGATTAGATCAAGCGATATCTACACTGTAGATATCGCTGCAATGAAATTACATCACAATGCTTTGCAGACCATTGTGATGTCACTGGTTACCATGATGTCACAATCAAATGACTTCACTAATGGCTCTGCTACTGAAGCTGTTGGCAGTACTTTTTACACTGAAGACACTGCTAATTACTGTCTACTAATTGAAAAAGTTGGAAGAATGATGTTGGATGATAAATAAAATCTCACCCTCGTGTCTTTTGATATCAAATATATCAACCCTCGTTGATAAAAGTGGCAAAAATCCTCGGCAAGCCTCGGAATTTTTCCACTTTTATCAACTCGTGTTGATATATTTGATATCAAAAGACACTCGGGTGAGATTCTCTATTTCAGAGACTAGGTGTAAGTCTGACCCCACCTGTCTGTCGGAGATACACAATGCTCATCTCATCCACAGGGAAGTAGCCCACGGTGGCTCCGTACTCGGGGCACATGTTGGAGATGGTTGCTCGGTCAGCGATGGACAGATCAGTCACTCCCGGGCCAAAGAATTCCACAAACTTTCCTACAACTCCTATTTGACGTAAATGCTGAAATGTAGGAAACATGAACTGAGAACAAGACTATGACATTTTCTTTTCCTTAAAAAACTTTTTCCGATTGCTTAGCATGTTTATTGTCCTTCGCTGTTGTTTCTTGCTAAATGCCGTACTCTGCAATATTCCATCATTAACCCAGCGGTCTGTAAATAATTGCTGCTGGACCAGGGCCTTCCCCTTAAACAAATCGACCTGACTACCGTAAGCCCATGTTAAAGTATGGGGGTTACGATCACCTTGGCACTAAGACTACTGTAAGCCCATGTTAAAGTATGGGGGTTACGATCACCTTAGCACTAAGACTACTGTAAACCCATGTTAAAGTATTGGGGTTACGATCACCTTAGCACTAAGACTACTGTAAACCCATGTTAAAGTATTGGGGTTACAATCACCTTAGCACTAAGACTACTGTAAGCCCATGTTAAAGTATGGGGGTTACGATCACCTTAGCACTAAGACTACTGTAAACCCATGTTAAAGTATGGGATTTAAGATCACCTTAGCACTAAGACTACTGTAAACCCATGTTAATGTATGGGATTTACGATCACCTTAGCGCTAAGACTACTGTAAACCCATGTTAAAGTATGGGAGTTACGATCACCTTAGCACTGAGACTACCATAAGCCTATGTTAATGTATGGGATTTACGATCACCTTAGCACTAAGACCACTGTAAACCCATGTTAAAGTATGGAATTAACAATCACAATAGCACTCTAACTATCGTAAGCCAATGTTAAAGTATGGAGGGGTGGTCGGGTAGCCCAGTGGTTAAACTGTTCGCTCATCATGCCAAAGAACCAGGTTCGATTTCTGGTGTCCCCCGCCGTGATATTTCTGGAATATTGCTTAAAGCAGCGTAAAACCATACTCACTCACTCACTGTTAAAGTACGGGAGTTACGATCACCTGAGTGTCAAGATCACTTTGTGGAACAGGGCCCAGACAATCCTGCGATTGACACTATGAGCAACGATCCACGCTGTCAGGGTAAAATGACATTCAATCAGCCAAGTGACTGAAGCTGACCACCCGATGCATTCAGTTATCTCTTAGGTTGGTTGGTTGGGTGGTTTGTTGTTTAACGCCACATTCAGCAATATTCCAGCTATATGACAGCGGTCTGTAAATAATCGAGTCTGGACCAGGCAATCCAGACAATCCAGTGATTGATATCAAGAGCATTGATCCACGCAATTGAGATCAATGACATGCATCAACCAAGTCAGCGAGCCTGACCACCGGATCCCGTTAGTCGCCTTTTACGACAATCATAGTCGCCTTTTACAGCAAGCATGGGTTGCTGAAGACCTATTCTACCCCGGATCTTCACGGGTCCAATGCATTCGGTTATCTCTTAGGAACTGTTATATTGCCTGCAACGGATTCTAATCTGGAATCTCCACAAGGTGTCCATTATATTTGTGTTGGCTCGAAATATAAGACCCAAGTGTGCTTTCTGATAGATGTATTTGGAAATTCTTATGTTGTTTATTTTTATATCCTTTTTCAAAATATTTAAGTCCACACACAACATTAGTTATCGATCAAAATAGCTATGTCACAACATGGCTAGGGGCATTCCAGGTGGACAGAGTTACCTACCTTGGTGATGGTGAGAACAACATCGGTAGAGGTGACTGGAGGGTTGAGGGAGTGGTCTACACAGAGTTACCTACCTTGGTGATGGTGAGAACAACATCGGTAGAGGTGACTGGAGGGTTGAGGGAGTGGTCTACACAGAGTTACCTACCATGGTGATGGTGAGAACAACATCGGTAGAGGTGACTGGAGGGTTCAGGGAGTGGTCTACACAGAGTTACCTACCTTGGTGATGGTGAGAACAACATCGGTAGAGGTGACTGGAGGGCTGAGGGAGTGGTCTACACAGAGTTACCTACCTTGGTGATGGTGAGAACAACATCGGTAGAGGTGACTGGAGGGTTGAGGGAGTGGTCTACACAGAGTTACCTACCTTGGTGATGGTAAGAACAACATCGGTAGAGGTGACTGGAGGGCTGAGGGAGTGGTCTACACAGAGTTACCTACCTTGGTGATGGTGAGAACAACATCGGTAGAGGTGACTGGAGGGTTGAGGGAGTGGTCTACACAGAGTTACCTACCTTGGTGATGGTGAGAACAACATCGGTAGAGGTGACTGGAGGGTTCAGGGAGTGGTCTACACAGAGTTACCTACCTTGGTGATGGTGAGAACAACATCGGTAGAGGTGACTGGAGGGTTGAGGGAGTGGTCTACACAGAGTTACTTACCTTGGTGATGGTGAGAACGACATCGGTAGAGGTGACTGGAGGGTTGAGGGAGTGGTCTACACAGAGTTACCTACCTTGGTGATGGTGAGAACGACATCAGTAGAGGTGACTAGAGGGTTGAGAGAGCCAGTAAGTTTGTATCCCACGACTTGCGGCAGCACCATGCTGATCGACTGGCCCAACATCACAGCTTCAGCCTCAATACCACCGACACCTACACAGACACACAGAACACTGGATCTATAAACACAAAGTTAAGTTTGGGATTTGTTAAATTATTGATGTTGCCATGTTTCAAAACATCTTAAATATATGACATAATTCTATGTCCAGAATTCATCTAGGATTCCAAATCAAGCAGCCTTGGCAGACAAAATTGGGAAAAATATTTCATTCAATGCAAAATTGAAAATTTAAAGGTCCTTATTTTCTTACATTCAGCATGTTCAGGGGTATTTTAATATTTCATTCAATGCAAATATTTCAAACAAACTTGAAACCTCTTCTTGTTTATTGGTGCTGTTTTCAGTTGAATGCAAGTCACCTTTGCAAAGGAATAATAATTACTAATAACATTAGTTATTACAATAATAACATGACACCATTTTTGCATTCCAATTTGGTAACTTCAGTGAGAAATGAGTGAGTATGGTTCGGGGCCACTTTAAGCAATATTTTAGCAATTTCATGATGGCGGGAGGCACCAGAAATGGGCTTCACACATACGATGACATGCATTAACCAAGTCTGCGGGCCTGACCACCTGATGCCATTAGTGCCTCTTATAAAAGACTCACTCGCCCCTTACGACAAGCACACTCGCTCGCCCCTTACGACAAGCATGGGTTGCCAAAGACCTTTTCTAATCTGGATCTTCATGGGTAAAACAACTATGCAAAAACTACATGGCAAAAGGATGCAGCATTCAATCGAGGCCAGATATCTAATTTGACTTTCTGTATTTTACTCATTTCACTTTTTACACGGTTTAACTGAAACTTCCAGCAATATCAGGGCAGGGTACACCAGAAATGGGCTTCACACATTATACCCATGTCGGGAAGTGAACCCGCCAGGTCTTCGGGGTGACGAGCGAACGCTTTAACCACAAGGCTACCCGACTGCCCCAAAACTTTAAGGAAAAATGAAGTGTCTCACCCCATCCAACTACTCCCAGGCCATTGATCATGGTGGTGTGAGAGTCAGTGCCCACAACACTGTCAGGGTAGAGAACTCCATCGGGGTTGAACACCACTCGGGCCAAGTACTCCAGGTTGACCTGATGCACGATGCCCGAGCCGGGGGGCACAATCAACATGTTCTTCAGCGCCTTGGCACCCCACTGCAGTCAGGGAGAAAGTGAGTGAGTGAGTGAATAGCGAGATAGCGAATGAGTGCGAGATGGGTAGATGTGGTGAGTGACAGCGAGGAGACAATGTGAGGGCAAGTGAGTGTAGTGTTAGTCAGTTGTGAGTGAGTGAGTGATGGGTGGATGTGTGAGTGAGTGAGTGAGTGAGTGAGTGGGTGGGTGGGTGTGTGAGTGAGTGATGGGTGGATGTGGTGAGTGAGTGAGTGAGTGAGTGAGTGAGTGGGTGGGTGGGTGGGTGTGTCAGCGATGGATGGATGTGGTGAGTGAGTGAGTGAGAGCGAGGAGACAATGTGAGAGCAAGTGAGTGTAGTGTTAGTCAGTTGTGAGTGAGTGAGTGAGCGAGCGAGCGAGCGAGTGATGGGTGGATGTGGTGAGTGAGTGAGTGAGTGAGTGGGTGGGTGGGTGTGTCAGTGATGGATGGATGTGGTGAGTGAGTGAGTGAGTGAGTGACAGCGAGGAGACAATGTGAGAGCAAGTGAGTGTAGTGTTAGTCAGTTGTGAGTGAGTGAGTGAGTGAGCGAGCGAGCGAGCCAGTGATGGGTGGATGTGGTGAGTGAGTGAGTGAGAGTGACAGCGAGGAGACAATGTGAGAGCAAGTGAGTGTAGTGTTAGTTAGTTGTGAGTGAGTGAGTGAGTGAGTGCGTGACAGTGAGTTAGTGAGTGAGATAGCAAATGAGTTAGATGGTAAGTATTATAGTGACAGGTGAGGTGAAATGGGGTTTAATGTCGCATCCAAGATGATTGCACTTATATAGCAACGTTAAGATAGTGAGATAGCGAATGAGACAGCAAGTGAGTGAGTCAGTGAGTTAGTGAGTCAGTGACAGCGAGGAGACAATATGATAGCCAGTGAGTGTGGTGTTAGTCAGTTGTGAGTGAGTGAGTCAGTCAGTGAGTGAGTCAGTGAGTCAGTCAGTGAGTCAGTCAGTCAGTCAGTCAGTCAGTCAGTCAGTCAGTCAGTCAGTCAGTCAGTCAGTCAGTCAGTCAGGTAGATGGATAAGTCCCACGCTGCTTTCAGCAATATTCCAGCCCTGTCACTTCAGGGGGACACCAAAGATATGCTTTATATGTTGCACTTATGTGGGGAATTGAACCAGGTCATTTGTCATAATCTGATCTGCTGTCATGATACGCTGCCCATCTATTACGTCACGTACCGTCATTCTCTCTGTCAAAGTTTCTGTCATCAGTTCAGAAGTGCTTACCTTTAGGAAGAGAAATCTTTCTTTATTTCTCTCAAATTCAAGTTTTTCATTTTCCTCCAGAGCATCAGCACTGAAACAATATTTGGTTGTCTTGACAACATATCACTACTCTCGTAGCAATCACAACGAGCTAAGGTCAACCTCTTACAACACTGTAACCATGGTAACAAATACAATTTACATAAAATTTGGGCCCACAAAAATCACACGAACATGTCAAACAGGCCTTCCACGTGTTATCAAAAAACACCAAGAAACACTCAACACAAACTGAAGGAAGGTCCCAGAAGCCATTTGTGGAGAAATTTAGTTTGAGAAGGTTTATCACTGTCGACAATTGCTGAGGAATCTTTGAGGGAAGTGACTGTACATCATGTCATACAGTAATGCAATCAACATAATCAATCAATTTTGAATAGGACATTGCCAGACATGAGAACAGCAAAACTGATTTTTGGAGGAACATCGCCAATGTAGGTTGTATTTTTTTTTAATTTCAAAAACAAGGATTAAAATAAGTGCATTTTACATCATTCTGAGAGTGAAAATCCCGGAATTCTGGGAATCTGAGGAAATTCTCATATCTTCATTGATTAATAAAAAATGAATTTGTACAAATGCTGCCGTGAACAGCTGCAAAAATGCTGCATTTAGCACTTTTTCAAATTATTTAATAAAAATTGGATGTCAAAAAACTGTTTCATAATTTATAGCTTATAATATATGTGTATTATAACAAACAAATAAAAAAAACAGATGGCACTACAGTGTTTTCAGGTTAGTAGATGTGGGAAAATATGTATAAGAAAAAAAGCAAATTATAAGAGTGCAACATAATGCAACAAAACTTGTAATAAAATTGTAATTTTGGAAAACTGTGTTTGTGAGGGGGGGGTTAACTTTTAAAAGTATTTTAGTTATGTTACAGATAACAAGTAAAATTAAGAAGTCCCAATTAAGGTGATGTGAGGTGAAATGGTGTTTAATGTTTAACAAGATTATTGCACTTATATAGCGACTTGCATGTATGTGTGTGTTTGGCTGCTTGTACTAGTTCGGACTTGCCGATTTTATAGTGCTTGCCCTCTGAGATACGATGCCACAGTTAAACATGAATACCCCACTCAGACACAGTATACCGACTCCAAGCCGACCAGTCCTTGTTTTAGCCCCTGGATGCCAGGCAGGGTAACAATAAGTACTATCTTTTAACGTCTTTTGGTATGACGCCGACCTTCTACTCTCTGGGCAGACTCTCTACCACTAGACCATGGAGGCGGTCCCCAATTCAGGGTCAGAACTTGAAACAAGCCCAGACACTCCAGGAAATCTTACATTCTTGTGATAAAGGAATTCCAAGGATGAGAAATATCAGGATGTTGCCAATCGTCTTGTAAATAAGTAAAAGTAAATTTCTGCCACTGCAAGAGTGACGGAGTCTTAACCAATCTCATTAAAATCAGATCTAAGTTCTTGCTACCGCTGAACAAAGATCTGCAGACATCACCATTACTGTTCATGTCAGAATGATCTTTCATCCGACCAATCAAAACATCGCTTACCAGATTTGGAAGTGACAGTTGGAATCTGTTTTCTAATCATTCAACCTAGAAAATGGTTACACAGGGTATTCCGAAATCATTGTCTCTCACTTTAATGGGATAACATTTCAAAAGGAAGAGATTTTCCATAGCCCGTAAGAAGTACTGGCATACAATCTGTCATCTACTAGACATTCCAGAATTTGTTTTTGTTCCGTTTTCAAATTTTGAATCACGAACTTTGTCAAAATAAGTCTTCAAAGCGAAGTCTGGAATGGAAGTCGCCAGTTTGAAACTAGTGAGTGAGTGAGTGAGTTGGGTTTAACGCCACTTTCAACAGTATTCTAGTTACATCGCGGCGTGTCAGCTTAATGTGGGAGGAAAGCCCGAAGTGATGCACCAGTGAAACCAGCTAGAAACATAATCGGGGCGAACCGGGATTCAAACCCACAATCATAGGTTTCTGGTGTGTCGACTTCTTTTTAGTCATTTCTTTCAGAGGTCGGTCAAAGTTTGTGAAAGGTTGATCTGACGTGACCTATAATGGGATGTCCTTAGATCTATGGGTAGCGTTAACAAGCATGTAGATTTGACTTTAATGAGATTGAGTTTTAACCAACAAAAAACAGCACTCAGCAATATTTCAAACAAACCAAGGCACCTGTAAATAATTAAGCTAGGAATATGAGAATCCAGTGAATGATACAAGGACCACCAATGTGAAGTACAGACGTTGGTGAAACCTACAAGGATAATATGCGGACACACAAAGGATCCTTGAGGAAGGTTGGTGGGATGAATCTTTGATTGAAACATGCGGGAAAAAAAAGTGAAAAAAGCAAGCAATAGTCTTTGTGATTTGAAGCAAACGCTACTGAGAAACACACCAAATTTCCCCTCATTTGAACAATCAGATACTTTCTTCGTTTTCTAGAGGCTGAGAAAAACTTACTTTTCTCCAAAGACTTTTACCTGTCCTCAAAATTCTCCCATATATAGCGCTATATAAATTCATTATTTTTTTATTATTATACACACAAAACTATAAAGTTAAGAGTGCATGGAAAATAGAAATAGAATATAATGTGCAGAAATTCATGCAGTAACAGGGGCGGTCGGGTAGCCTAGTGATTAAAGCGTTCGCTCGTCATGCCGAAGACCCGGGTTCGATTCCCGACATAGGTACAATGTGTGAAGCCCATTTGTGGTGTCCCCCCGCGTGATATTGCTGGAATATTGCTACAAAGTGGCGTAAAACCATTCTCACTCACTCACTCACTCGCTCATGCAGTAATAAAATCTACAGCTACAATTGACCAAAAACCCACATAGCCAAAGAAATACAATAACAACAGGAGAGTGGGGGGAAAAATAAAAAAATTATGCAAATTTGCTCAAAAATGTAAAATTAAACCAACCCGCCGGTTTTGTGGCCGTGAAATGGACATAGAGAATCTAAAACAGGCATCCCTGAAGAGGAGCATACTCTGCAAGAGGTTGACCTTGACCCTGGGTTTGAACTTTGAACTGGTGTGACCCCGCCTCCGGGGTTAGGTGAATATTGCAGACCACTGAAAATAAACGCTACTGCTCAAGAAAATTAAAACTATTACTTTTCATAAATTCTTTAAACTTTGTTTCCAGATAAACGAAATTGGCGAGTGAATGTGTAGTGAATGAGTAATAGAATTTCGTTTAACACCGTTTTGAACAGTATTCCAGTTATATCACGGCATGTCAGCTTAATGTTGGGGAGGAAAGCATGAAGTGATGCAGGTCTAAGACATTTATCACTTTGGAAAAATCAACAAGCACAGGTATGGTGCTGATAAACCAAGAAACATCACTGGGGTGAACCAGGATTCGGTCCACGACCATAGGTTTCTGTGGCGCCTTAGACGACTGGGCCACACGTGCCTGGTGAATGTTTTAAGATGGAGTAATATTCAGGCAATATCGACTATATTGTGATATCATAATATACTGACTGTCTGGCAGATAATTTTAAGCCAACTTATATATTCAGGTTTATCATAACTCCTTGTAGATTCTCAAGAAACTTTTAGCATTATTTAACCTAATCAAGACGTGATTTGTTTCTTTTATTTTTAACTGATTTTTCAATATCAATAATGTCTGAAGATCGGCAGGTAACATTTATGGCTCACCTGCCCGACTGCCTTGTTGGGTTTTAAAAATATTTCTAACACTGGTCTGGGCCCTGTAACACAAAGCGGCATAGCGCTAAGACAATTTTAACTCCCATACATTAAACCAGACTTATGACAGTCGTACCGCTAAATGGCTTTGAGGAATGGGACTCAGGACTATACAAGCCAGTGGCTTATAGAATGAGCAATGTTTCAAACATGTCACGCACTGTGACCACAAACAGGTCCCACACCTCAATATAGCTTTACGATAGTCGTAACTCCCACACCTCAATGTAGCTTTATGATAGTCATAACTCCCACACCTCAATATAGCTTTACGACAGTCGTAACTCCCACACCTCAATATAGCTTTATGATAGTCATAACTCCCACACCTCAATGTAGCTTTATGATAGTCATAACTCCCACACCTCAATATAGCTTTACGACAGTCGTAACTCCCACACCTCAATATAGCTTTATGATAGTCGTAACTCCCACACCTAAATATAGCTTTACGATAGTTATTACTCCCACACCTCAATGTAGCTTTATGATAGTCATAACTCCCACACCTCAATATAGCTTTATGATAGTCATAACTCCCACACCTCAATATAGCTTTACGATAGTTGTAACACCCACACCTCAATATAGCTTTACGATAATCGTAACTCCCACACCTCAATGTAGCTTTATGATAGTCGTAACTCCCACACCTAAATATAGCTTTACGATAGTTGTAACACTCACACCTCAATATAGCTTTACGATAGTCGTAACTCCCACACCTCAATATAGCTTTACGATAGTCGTTACTCCCACACCTCAATATAGCTTTATGATAGTCATAACTCCCACACCTCAATATAGCTTTACGACAGTCGTAACTCCCACACCTCAATATAGCTTTATGATAGTCATAACTCCCACACCTCAATATAGCTTTACGACAGTCGTAACTCCCACAACTCAATATAGCTTTATGACAGTCGTAACTCCTACACCTCAATACAAATTTACAATAGTCGAAACTCCCTCACCTCAATGTAGCTTTATGATAGTCGTAACACCCACACCTTAGTGGTCATTATTCCTCTACCTAAAATAGACCTAGCTAAGGCTTAAAAAAATAATTATTTATTTAAAATATAAGAATATAAAATAATAGATGGATTCTGATTGGTCAATAGGAGGGGCATAGAGGGGACATAACTCGTATTGGCCACTGCTGGCGCCCAGTTCGGCAAGGGTGGAAACTGGACTTTTGAGAGTCATTTTACACAAAGGTGTAGATGCTAAATATAAGACAGCGACATCAGCAACTACATCCACCTCACCTCCTGGCCACATCCACTTGCACGGAGTGATCTATCACAAGGTCGGCTGGGCAGACTGGGTTGATTTTCTCTGGATCTCCGTCAAGACGTTTCATGGCGTCTCTCATGGTGGCAAAGTCTACAACTGCAGGAACACCCCTACAACACACAGAAAGACACTGAAATGTCAAAGAAATACCCGGAAACACCCTGAAAAAATAGTGAAAAATCACAGAAACTCATGGAAACATGAAGGGACACGGGTGTCCTAGTCGTCGAAAGTGCTGCAATTCACTGTGCAGAGTTGCGTCCCTTGGGCACGCCAGAAACCTATGATTGTGGGTTCGAATCCCGTTTCGCCCCGTGGGTTTGACTGAAGTGGTTAACGTCTGAGACCTGCATCACTTCGGGCTTTCCACCCACATTAAGCTGATATAACTGGAATACTGTCAAAAGCGGCATTAAACCCAACTCACTCACTCATTCATGGAAAGGTCAACACACTGAAATATTACAGGAACATTGATCACATTGATCACAGAAACACACGATGGGACCCAAAGGGCTTAACTCACGTAAAATCCTGGCAGACCTGAAGGGAATCTCACATGGTAAATACTGACGTAAAATCCTGCAGGATGACCCTGGCAGGCCTGAAGGGAATCTCACATGGTAAATACTCACGTAAATTCCTGCAGGATGACCCTGGCAGGCCTGAAGGGAATCTCACATGGTAAATACTCACGTAAAATCCTGCAGGATGACCCTGGCAGGCCTGAATGGAATCTCACGTGGTAAATACTCACGTAAAATCCTGCAGGATGACCCTGGCAGGCCTGAAGGGGATATCCCTTGGTAAATACTCACGTAAAATCCTGCAGGATGACCCTGGGGGGTCTGAAGGGGATATCCCGTGGTAAATACTCACGTAAAATCCTGCAGGATGACCCTGGCGGGCCTGAATGGGATCTCCACACTGTTGGCCTGCTGCTTCTCCCAGTCCAGTATGTTCTCCACATCCTTCTTGAGGACCTGGAACTCATCACAGTTCCTCACGGCCGACTCCAGCAGGACTCTCACAGAGTAGGGAAGCTTGTCTGCAACAACGCATCACAGCGGTGGCACTCATCATTCACATCATCCACTAGTCTAAATACCAAAAAAGTCTCTTAGGATCAGTCCATAACAGCCCATATATTACCATTATCGTTTGTTTGTTTGTTGTTTAAGGCCGCACTCAGCAATACTACAGCTATATGATGGCGGTCTGTAAAATAATCGAGTCTGGACCGACAATCATGTGATTGATATCATGAGCATCGATCCATGCAATTAGGATCAATGACATGCATCAACCAAGTCAGCGAGCCTGACCACCAGATCCCATAAGTCGCCTCTCACGACTATGTGAAACCAATGGGCTAACATATACTGAACAACAAAAGTTCCTGTGACATTGAATATGATTGAATTGAATATATAATAATTCTCACTTTATGGTGTTTAAATGTTGAAACAACACCATAAACCATGTAAACTATGTTTGCATATAACATGTATAACCATAAAAGCAAGAGATTGAAATTTTGAAGAAGAAAAAGAAAATGTTGTTAGGTTGTATTAATTTTTAGGGGATATGGTCATGCATTTTTTTGTCGCAGAATTGTGGATTTTTTCTGCAGAATTTTGATGATCATGATAATACTGCAGAATTCATCAGGAACTAAACTATCCTCACCATATCGACTGTCATTGAGACCAGGTAGGCTGTAATACTTGTAGTCCTTCCCATCGATTGTGACGTCCTTAAGCAGTCCGCTGTACGGGTTGCTCCCTGCTGCAAATACAAACACTCTGTTACCATGGTAACACAAAATGCATCACAACAAAGGCCCAGGTTGAGTGTCTACATGCTCAAGTCTCCACACAAGTCCAATGTCTGCTTTGAGCCACTGCCAGAACACCAGTTGGCATGGTCCAGCTGCTGTCTGTGTAAAACACACAACATAAAAACTAGGACCAAATTACTACTGAGTGATTGAGTTGGGTTTAACGCTGCTTTTAACAGTATTCCAGTTATATCGCGGCGTGTCAGCTTAATGTGGGGGGAAAGCCCGCAGTCATGCAGGTCTCAGACGTTTACCACTTCGGTGAAATCCACGAGCACGGGTTCGGTGCTGACAAACCTAGAAACATAATCGGGGTGAAGGATTCGAACCCACAATCATAGGTTTCTGGTGTGTCGACTTCTTTTTAGTCATTTCTTTCAGAGGTCGGTCAAAGTTTGTGAAAGGTTGATCTGACGCGACCTATAATGGGATGTCCTTAGATCTATGGGTAGCGTTAACAAGCATGTAGATTTGACTTTAATGAGATTGAGTTTTAACCAACAAAAAACAGCACTCAGCAATATTTCAAACTACTACTACTGAGTGACTTCAGCTACAAATATAATAAAATTAAATAAGAATAAAACAATGAGTCATCAGAAGATGACAAATCAGCCAGCGCCCACAAATTCAAAAGTGCAAATAATCAGATCATGCTTGTTGTTACAAGAGTGAGTGAGTATGGTTTTACGTTGTTTTTAGCAATATTCAAGCAATGTCACTGCAGGGGACACCAGAAATGGGCTTCACGCATTGTACCCATGTCGGGAATCGATCCCGGGTCTTCAGCGAGGCGAGCGAACGCTTTAACTACTGGGCTACCCGACCACCCCTGTCTTAATGAGAGTATTCCTATCTTATCTGTACAAAGAGTAGTTACTGAGCTATCAAAACAATACCATGGAACAGAGCTATAGATAAGCTGTTGGTTTTTGGGGTATTTAACTTTAAACCTGTTTCATAACAATCCATGTAAATTATTTAGAACTAGTGAGTGAGGGAGTTGGGTTTCATGCTGCTTTTAACAGTATTCAAGTTATATCGCGGCGTGTCAGCTTAATGTAGGAGGAAAGCCCAAAGTGATGCAGGACGTTTACCACTGCGGTGAAACCCACAAGCATGGGTATGGTGCTGACAAATCTAGAAAACATAATCGGGGCGAACTGGGATTCGAACCCACAATCATATGGACGCAACTCTGCACAGCGAATCGCGGCGCCTAAGACGACTGGCCCACCTGTGCCCCCTCATTTAAAACTATGTGAATACTAGTATACCCATTTGTGTCTGCTTGCGACACCCTCCCCGGGAAGCCTTTCCTTGTTTACAAATCCTAGCATTGTAAGAAAGGTGTATTGTTTTAATCACCAATAAGCGACTGTTTAAGATACATAGACTAGACACAATGGGCTTTTTAATTGGCATCTATCAGTATGTTTGTTGCAATCGGAAATTGAATTTGGCAATCAGCTGATACACAATGATTTTATTTAACAGTTGTAAAATATGCAATCGTTTTTCTAATGGTTGTAATATACACATTAACTTTATTTCAATAGCATATTTATAGTTTTTGGTTGAGAATTTGATATGATAGGATTTAATTTGTGTGCGTATTTCAGATGATTTAATGATTTAATTATATGTAAATATGCAGCTTATCTCGCGCTCTGATGGAATATAATACCTTGTATGTGTGTGTGAGTGTGTTTGCGCGGGCATGTGTCGAGGGAGGTGGGGGTCTGTTGAAGTTACAGAAAAAGAATAAACACCCATTCCTTTATAGTAAATGCATGTTTGCTATCCTTGTAATTGAAGAATATTTGCAAATTTTACGGCCCAGCAAGGGTCAAGGACTTTCATGACTAACAGGTCGTCAGGATAGAACAACTTGTAGCACTATCGAAAATCCCTGGTACATGGCCTGGTTTTGGGAGCAGGTGATCTGGACCCAGACTTTTATGATGATATTGTGTCAATGTTAAACATGCTTCTCATGCTCAGAGTTAAATCTCTTGAATATTCTTCAGGATGTTAAATGTAATTCTGTGATAATATACTGGGGTCTGTTCCACAAAGCTATCATAGCATTAAGGTTATCTGTAGTAGCGCTACAATCGCCTTGGGGAACGGTTAGTTGGTTGGGTGGTTGGTTTGTTGTTTTACGTCGCACTCAGCAATGTTCCAGCTATGATGGCGGTCTGTAAATAACAGTTGGTTGGGTGGTTGGTTTGTTGTTTTACGTCGCACTCAGCAATGTTCCAGCTATGATGGCGGTCTGTAAATAACAGAGTCTGGACCAGACAATCCAGTGATTGATATCAAGAGCATCGATCCACGCAATTGGGATCGATGGCATGCTTCAACCAAGTCAGCGAGCCTTACCACCCGATCCCGTTAGTCGCCTCTACGACAAGCATAGTCGCCTTTTACAGCAAGCATGGGTTGCTGAAGACCTATTCTACCCCGGATCTTCACGGGCACCCTAGTTAATGTACTGTCTTCTGTAACATGGATGTTTGTAAAGACACTGAATATTCTCGTCACAATGTGGCACAAACAGTGCCAGCAAGACACCGACACATGCTCCAGATGCCCACTATCTTATCTCCTCACCTCACTTAACTACCAGTCTAAATCACTGCAGTGATTGGATACTTTCTTCAAGGACCTTGGGCCCCATTTTGACAAAATTTATGGACCACTTTTTGCAAGTATGGACCATAAATTTCACTCCATTGCTAATTGCAAAGGGACATAAATCCATCATAACTTAAGAATTACTGCAGCTGACCATAACATTGTACTGTTTATAATCATAATCTTGAATTTCAGACAATAACATGTCAAGGCATTGTGTAACCAGTTCAAATTATATGTCATTTGAATGTTTGGGAGGAATTACGAAAAACAAACGATTTGGTACATTTTCAAAGGCAAGGGAGTTAACTGACTATATAAAAGTCCCGTTTCCATTTGGGCTGGACAGGACTGGACTTGTGGCTGTCCATGCATAGTCCAATCAAAATCGCCTAACAAAATCAACATTCAGTTCATAAACGACGTGTACAGTCAACTGGGCGTCAACAGATATTTTCCAAATTATTTCATGTTCTTAATCGAGGTGCTTAAGTGATTTGATGTGCCTCGCGAGGGAAGACCCATTGTATAACAATAAAGATCTTGATTATCGGTCAGATCATCTTGACTGTGCGTCCCCATTGTGTTTGAGTGAGAGAGTGAGTATGGTTTTACGCCGCTTTTAGCAATATTCCAGCAATATCACGGTGGGGGACACCAGAAATGGGCTTCACGCATTGTACCCATGTCGAGATTCGAACCCGGGTCTTCGGCGTGAAGATTGAACGCTTTAACCACTAGGCTACCCGACTGCCCCCCCATTGTGTTTGAAGCAAATGCAAGTGATATGAGAGGTGAACAACTGACAAACTGAAACTTCAATTGTTGTTGTTGTTGTTGTTGTTGTTGTTGAGGCTCTGAACGGATGCAAGTTATGTCAGTGCAGGATGGGCAGCGGTTGTGAGTCTTATATTAACATTGACCACATACATGTAGTCTTTGAATGACATTTAGAAGTGACACACATAAGGGAGAGAATTTATGGATGTCAACTTCTTTAGTATGAGAAACACAACTTTTCGGAGTATATACCATGATATACACGATATACCATGAAATACACGATATACCATGATATACACGATATACACAATATACCATATCCACGATATCCATGATATACACAATATACCATGATATACACAATATACCATGATATACACGATATACCACGATATATACGATATACCACGATATACACGATTTACAGGGATGAGAATGGATATTTTCCTTTTCAGCTGAAACATATTTGCAAAGGAGCGTGGTCGATATTTTGGGGGTGTTTATTGGGGAAGCCAGCAGATTTTAACAAATTTATGGTCACTAAAATTCACGGAAAATCGCAGATCCGCAGAACATTCTCATGCCTGTACATACTTATAACCTGATGAAGGAGTAAGCATATACCCCCAAACGTTGTGTTCCTCATAATAAAGAAGCTGACATCCATAAATTCTCTTCCTTCAACTGAAACTTGATCCTGTAGTTTCAACCTTCAACATGTTTGAGTTGTTGAAAACATCATGACACTTACAGAACATGCGAGATGCTGCTTACCTCAAGATATCTAACCTTGAATAAGGACACCCACGGACAGTGAATACAAACATCATTGTTAACACAGAGTTTACACACTGTATATCAACATTCCGAAACCAGCAATGACCAGTGTACAGGTGTACTCTCCCACCTACTTTTTGTTTGTTTGTTGTTTAGTACCGCACTCAGCAATATTCAAGCTACATGAGGGTGGTCTGTAAATAATCAAATCTGGACCTAAAAACCCAGTCATTGACATCACGAGCATTGATCCACACAATTAAGATACGATGACATGCATCAATCGAACTGTATATATAATATTGCTCAAATGTGTTTCGTGAATTGTTTCTAAATATAGTATGCTGAAATATGTTTCACAACTTGTTTCTAAATAGAACTTTGCATTAATGACTAAATTGTGGATATATTAACTTGGTCTCGTCGCTATATGGCTGGGATAGTGCTGATGCAACGTTAAATTTAACCTCACTCACTCACTTGTCCTAAACTTGTTATTATCAACTTATATCATAAGTGATGATAAGTGATGATAAGGGATCTCCATTCTCGTCACTGATGTTGTTCGTGTTGACCTGTGACTTGGGTGCCCTCAGTGATGCAGCCCAACACTGCCTGCCCAGGGGACTTTGACCCCACCGATAACGACAATGACGACCCTGTCCTGTAGATAACACCCTGGGAATCCAGGCAGCATGTCCACATGGACCTTCTCACAGGACATTCACCTTTTGTGTGTGTGTGTTGTGTTCCTGTGTGTTATGTTCATGTGTGTTATGTTCATGTGTGTTGTGTTCCTGTGTGTTATGTTCATGTGTGTTGTCTTCATGTGTGTTGTGTTCATGTGTGTTGTGTTCCTGTGTGTTATGTTCATGTGTGTTGTGTTCATGTGTGTTATGTTCCTGTGTGTTATGTTCATGTGTGTTATGTTCATGTGTGTTGTGTTCATGTGTTGTGTTCATGTGTGTTGTGATGATGTATGTTGTGTTTATGTGTGTTTTGTTGATGTATGTTGTGTTTATGTGTGTTTTGTTGATGTATGTTGTGTTTATGTGTGTTGTGTTGATGTATGTTGTGTTTATGTGTGTTTTGTTGATGTATGTTGTGTTTATGTGTGTTGTGTTGATGTATGTTGTGATGATGTATGTTGTGTTTATGTGTGTAGTGATGATGTATGTTGTGTTTATGTGTGTTTTGTTGATGTGTGTTGTGTTTATGTGTGTTGTGATGATGTATGTTGTGTTTATGTGTGTTTTGTTGATGTGTGTTGTGTTTATGTGTGTAGTGATGATGTATGTTGTGTTTATGTGTGTTGTGATGATGTATGTTGTGTTTATGTGTGTAGTGATGATGTATGTTGTGTTTATGTGTGTTTTGTTGATGTATGTTGTGTTTATGTGTGTTGTGATGATGTATGTTGTGTTTATGTGTGTTTTGTTGATGTATGTTGTGTTTATGTGTGTTTTGTTGATGTATGTTGTGTTTATGTGTGTTGTGTTGATGTATGTTGTGTTTATGTGTGTTGTGATGATGTATGTTGTGTTCATGTGCGTTGTGTTCATGTGCGTTGTGTTCATGTGCGTTGTGTTCATGTGCATTGTGTTCATGTGCGTTGTGTTCATGTGAGTGAGTGAGTGGGGTTTTACGCCGCTTTTAGCAATATTCCAGCAATATCACGGCGGGGGACACCAGAAATGGGCTTCACACATTGTACCCATGTCGGGAATTGAACTCGGGTCTTCGGCGTGACGAGTGAACGCTTTAACCACTGGGCTACCCGACCGCCCTTGTGTCCATGTGCGTTGTGTTGATGTGCGTTGTGTTCATGTGTGTTGTGTTCATGTGTGTTGTGTTCATGTGTGTTGTGTTCATGTGTGTTGTGTTCATGTGCATTGCGTTCATGTGTGTGTGTTGTGTTCATGTGCGTTGTGTTCATGTGTGTTGTGTTCATGTGTGTTGTGTTCATGTGTGTTGTGTTCATGTGCATTGCGTTCATGTGTGTGTGTTGTGTTCATGTGTGTTATGTTCATGTGTGTTGTGTGTTTATGTATGTTGGTTTCATGTGTATTGTGATCATGTGTTCATGTGCATTGCGTTCGTGTGTGTTGTGTGTTTATGTATGTTGGTTTCATGTGCATTGTGATCATGTGTTCATGTGTGTTGTGTGTCCTTGTGCATGTTGTGTATGTAGTGCGTGCTTGCTGGACATGCATGTATATCAACACGTGAAAGTAGTTATTTCAGCTTCTTCACACAAGTACGGTCGAAATAAAATTAAACATAAATACCTATGTACACTGATGTGAGTCATTTATTTAGATGAACATGATGAAAGTTATTCTGCCCTGGAGTTAAAACTGCAGCTGGCATTCTTGAATCGCTGACATGGAAATAATATATATAACATTTCATATCCAATAAGCATGATAAGAGGATCTATATTACCAGTGATTACCAGCAGGCGACATAATAAACACAAACATTTTTATGTTTAACTTATTTCTGTTCCAGCTGCTTTACAGTAGGGACAGGGTGCCCGTAAAATACAAAAATAAAATGTGTGTGGCCTAATGCTCAAATTTTGAAATGCCTTTCCGATTAACAGTTGAAATAGGTTAATGGTGCCTGAAGGATACACTTTGAAATCATATTTTTTAGCAATACCTTGTGACAATGTTCTTTGAATGAAATAGCGCTGGGACGAGTCCAAATTTACTACCCGGGCAGCGGTAGAAACTAACAGTTTCAGTCCACTAGTCCTCATAATGGTTGCTGTCACTCCAGCCTGATAACGGTGTAAGAATCTATATTGAATATCACTATATGCCCCAAACGGAAGTTGTTATCCATAAAGTTTTCTCACAACTGTTATTTATCATGATTATATCTCACAAACTTTAAAGTCTAGCCTGCTTATTTTAAAATGTAATAAAATGGTTCCAGTATTTTAATTGGTATTCCTTTGTTGAAGCTACAGTGTGGTTGAATAGAATGAGTGAGGGAGTGAGTGAGTTTGGTTTAACGCCGCTTTTAACAGTATTCCAGTTATATCGCGGCGTGTCAGCTTAATGTGGGAGGAAAGCTCGAAGTGATGCAGGTCTCAGACGTTTACCGTTTCGGTGAAACCCACGAGCACGGGTATGGTGCTGACAAAGCTAGAAACATAATCGGGGCGAACCGGGATTCGAACCCACAATCATAGGTTTCTGGCGTGCCCAAGGGACGCAACTCTGCACAGCAAATCGCGGCGCCTTAGACAACTGGGCCACCCGTGCCCCCTGAATAGAATGAAGGAATGGTTGGATTCAGCTCAGTACATCTTGTCAATCAGACTCTATCACTCATGTCTGTTGTGCAAGCTGCAGCTAGCAGTAACCAGGTAACATTATTGTTGCAGTCACATGAAATGAACCAAAAAAACTACTCCCACAGCATTCATGACAATTCAATTATCATGAGCTGCGGTGTCAACAGATGTTCAAAATATGCTTGCCTGACCCTTGAATCTCCTCCGAGTTGCTTGATGTCAAATACGTCATCAATACATCAACATTCCAGCGGTAGAAATTGGCCCTAGTCCTGTAGTCCTTGCCAAACTGCCCAATAATTAAGGTATCATAAGGACTAGAAGAAATTTGCCATTTTAAGGGTTTTGTTATCATTATACATGTTATAAGGACTAGTGGACTAAAACTGTTAGCAGAGCTCAAGATAAGCTTTTGGGGTTGTGGGTTTTTTACCCATGCATTTTAAAATCATTGGGTATCAGTAATTCTATCTGGGTAGTCAAATTTCTGTTACCCACTAGTTTCTACACGTGGGTATTTAAGTTAAATATTTATAAACACTATTCATCTAGGCCCTGCAAACTGGTGTCTCGTGGGTTCGAGAGCTTTATAGGACTAAAAAATGCCACGATACTTCCACAAGAAAGTGTGATGGCAAATGATCATGATGTAACTGTCATCGTGGAGTTTGGCAAGGTTGACGGAATGCCTGTTTATAATTTCAAAATAAGTTGCTGATTTGCTAATCGAATACGCAGGGTTACTTCACAATATTTTGATGATACGCACAAGTTTTATTTTTGTAGTGTTTCTGTAATGTTTGTTGCATATTTGATACGCTTGGATTTTATTTTACTGCGTATTTCTGCATTTCTGATGCCTATTTCAAGCAGATACGCAGCTTATCTGGAGCTCTGTGTTAGTTTCTACCGCTGCATTCAAAAGATGTTACAACTGGACGATGGCACTGACAGACCAAGAAACTAATCAGTTCAAACCCATGATGAGGTGAGGTGAAATTTGGTTTTACGTCTTGTCCAAGATTATTGAACTTATATAGCCACGTGAAGGCATGTGTGTGTGTGTGTGTGTCTACTTGTACTAGTCCGGACTGATGCCGATTTATAGTGCTAACTCACTGGGATACCATGCCGCAACATGAATACCCCACTCAGACACAGTATACCGGATCCGAGCCGACCAGTCCTTGTTTTAGCCCCTTAATACCGAGCGCCAGACAGGGTAACAACAAATACCATATTTTTAAGTCTTTTGGTATGGCATGGCTGGGGACTGAATCCCGGACCTTCCGCTCTCCGGGCGGACACTCTACCACTAGACCACGGGGGCAGTCTCATGATGATTATAGAATCTTGGCATGCAGAATGGACTTGACTGATCAAAGCACAAGTTCAACTTCACCATATTCATATTGATTCTTGTTGAATGCTACAGTCAACAATATTCCAGCTATATTGATATATGATGGTGGTCCGTAAATAAACGAGTCTAGACCAGACAATTCGGTGATTGACATCATGAGCGTTGATCCATGCAATTAGGATACGATGACATGAATCACCCAAGTCTGTGAGCCAGACCACACTATCCCGTTAGTCGCCAAGCAATATTCCAGCTATATGACGACGGTCTGTAAATAATCGAGTCTGGACAAGACCATCCAGTGATTGACATCATGAGCGTTGATCCATACAATTGGGATACGATGACATCCTAATCCTTTAACACTATGCACAAAAAAAATGGAAAATGGAAACAAAAACGAAATGGCAATGAACTTTATGACAGCTTGGGCAGTGCCTGAGAAGCAAGACTATTATTTTGTTTTAGCCTAAAATATGACTGGGGATTTATGAGTTGAAAAGGATTTACTCAATGTGAAAGAAAAGAAAAAGTGTACCAGGGTACAATATCATTCTGTTTTATCACCTGCACCAGGTGCAACCAAGTGAATTAATCAGGTTGCACCACCAAAATATTGGCTGCACTAGTTTATCATAAATTGAAACACTGTATTTTCAGTTATTTTGAATATTAAATATATTCAAAGAGAAAATAAACTTGCAGGGTTCATTCTACTTTCCTGACATGGGCCCTTTATATGAAAATTTTAAATATTCCAGAGGTACGCCCATACAGCTCAATGTTAAAATGCCCCATTGTATTTGAAAATGTAGGCCTTTTTTTTCAAATTTAGGGGCTCACAGCACAAGGCCCCACCCTGAACTTAAGAATGTGCTCCAGAATCTATTTCAGGGAAATCTGTACATGGCTTTTCACATCTTGACATCCAGTAATCAACCTTAACAGAAGTTTCAAAATGTCTGTTTGTTGTGATGGTAACCTCATGGGTGACTGTTCTAGTGGTAATTGTGAAGAATTAGTTCTGCAAGTTCACTGCATTCACACCTGTGTATTCTACTATTTTCAAGAAATTTAGTTTCCTTACCAGGATTCATCTAGTCCTGCTCAGAGGCCGCTATTCGGCCACAAGTCTGCAGCAAATATTGGCATATATTCCAAAATTAGAATTACAAATTCCCCAACACATATTATTACATTAATATATATTGTAATGGCTTTACACAAGTGACATGTATTCTAGTGACAACTTGAGCGAAATATTGATTTTTTTCCCAACTTGCCCGCCAATGGCACTTAGTTTGGATTTGGAATTCAGGATAAATCCCAGCTTAAAGAATGTCCCCTAGCAAACTTGAAAAAAAGGCATTTCCACTACAGACAAATTCATTACAGTAATAAATTTTACTACATAGCATCGCCATAACCCACGAATACATACGGCTGATATTAGTACTGTATTTCTTGAGTATGGTGCGCACTTTTTTTCCCCATACAAACAAAACTGTTTAGATGTGTGTGTGTTGTTGTTTTTTTTTTTGGGGGGGGGGGGGGGGGGGAGAGAGAAAGAATGCATTACATATATGTCATTGACATCATGAGCGTTGATCCATGCAATTTGGATACGATGTCATAAATCAACCAAGTCAGCGAGCCAGACCACACTATCCCGTTAGTCATGAAGCATGGGTTGCTGGAGACCTATTCTCTATCAGGATTTTCATGGGACCAATAGATCAATGATTAATTAAGCATTCCCAGTGACATGTTGTGTACACCGTTTGAAGACAAACATACATACTGTGTTTTCTATGTAGAGAAATGTGCTAGCTGTAGAATTGTCAGTGTTAGCAGTGATTTAGACATGAAGGTAGAGACAAATGGCTTTAGGTCACTTTCGTGATATCAACTTTTGATAAGGATTATTTAGTTTGGTTCTTTTACCATGTTTACCAAATTTGAACAAAATCTTTAGGCCATTTGGATTACAAGTAGTAAATGTCCTAGAAAATCGACTGATCAGAAACAATCTGCCCTTTGCCATGACATACATGTAACAATATTATAAATTTGTCTTTATTAAGAGTAGTCCACACCAATGCACTAGTCCCAGAGCTCCAGATAAGCTGCGTATCTGCATAAAATACGCATCAGAAATGCAGAAATACGCAGTAAAATAAAATCCAAGTGTATCAAATACGCAACAAACATTACAGATACGCTACAAAAATAAAAATTGTGCGTATCATCAAAATAATGTGAAGTAACCCTGCGTATTCAATTAGCAAATCAGCAACTTATTTTGAAATTATAAACAGGCATTCCGTCAACCTTGCTACACTCCACGATGACAGTTACATCATGATCATTTGCCATCACACTTTCTTGTGGAAGTATCGTGGTATTTTTTAGTCCTAAAAAGCTCTCGAACCCATGAGACACCAGTTTGCAGGGCCTAGATGAATAGTGTTTTTAAATATTTAACTTAAATACCCACATGTGTAAAAACTAGTGGGTAACAGAAACTTGAATACCCAGATAGAATTACTGATACCCAATGATTTTAAAATGCATGGGTAAAATACCCACAACACCGAAAGCTTATCTGGAGCTCTGAGTCCTCACAGTAAGTTCTGCTTGAACGTCACAAAACTGTTAACTATTCTGTCAGTTTTATTCAGTTCCAATTTGTTGAAAATTGAAGTATTCATAACTGGTTTAGAATAAGAATCCCCAACGCAACAAATCAATGAGGACTACCAACATTTGATTTTACTTGTACTTGACAGTGGACTAACATGAATTTCAAAAGTTGTGATAAACAGTGTTTTAAAAATAAACTGTGCCATGTTCCCATGTGCAATATTTCAGCAATACTGGGACAATGCTGACAAAAAGTAATGACCAGTAAAATAACAGTATTGCAATTGTATTATGTTGAATAAAATTGTCAAAAATGCAATATTATCGCAGAAGAGGTTGCAAATATGACTATTGTAATCAACAAAACCTAACGATATTGCATAAGGATTCATTTCCAAGATTTATCACAGTTTTAACAAAATACTTCACAAAATATTACTTAATATCCTAGGCCTACATCATAATCATGATTATAATCACGATTGCAATAATAATAATAGAAATAATACGCCAAGCAGCGTCACCATGGTTGAAATAACACAACATTCACTCCATTGTTGAACAATGTATAAACGATATATACACATGAGTTGAATATCATGCACACTCCCTCTGTACTATAAATGTCCTAAGACCCAACCATGCTAACACAGCAGTAACAGTGAGAAAATGGACTAACATTTTAGTCAGTCACAGTATGTTACAACATGTTGTACAATACCACAACGAATCAATAGAAGAAAATGGGTCGACATAGAGCTCTCTTTCTCATTTCAAAATATGCATCAAAATCCATTCAAAGAACTCGAGAATGTCATCTTTCGTGTAAATGTATTTATGAGGCAAGATTCGACCACCCATGCAGGTCCTTCAACAAACATCGCCTGCTAGTGCTATCGTCGGCCTAGACTGCCACTGATGCTGTTGGCTTGAAACATTGTGTTAATTAAGTAATGACAGTCTCTACATTTTTTCTCTAAAGATATTTACAACGGGGATTGCGTCTCAATGCAAATTTGAAAACATGTTAAGTTTAAAAGACAGGACAATTACAAGTTGGAAGAAACGCGAGAGCCGAGGCACACTTTCTTACCTGTCGCCGCCATCTTGTCTGCTGTAAAGTCACGTGAGCAAGTGTGCGATTGTATATTCGTAGAAACTAACTATTTACTACCTGAATAAAAATCAATAAAGTATTAAATGATGGTTACATGCGTAATTAATTTTGGAAAAGCTATGGAAATGCTTTAAGAAAGCAGCTGCACAGAATCACCA